TCACTTTCGGATGCCCAACAGGAAATGATGTTGTAGCAATTGTTGAGGGGTAAAGTGAATTAAAGTCTAAGTAGGCAATTTTGTGTTGTTCTTTTTCTGCGTCAAAGTGCATGTGTAGTGGTCCAGTTCTCCCGCCAAAATAGCAGTCTCTAATATTGATTGGTCCTTTGTTGTGGTAATTTGCAAAAGCTTTCCTCATTTTCTGATTGCGACGAAGCATCTGATGAATTTCACATTCCCATATAATATCAACATTCTTTATATATTTTTTAATTATTTCCATCCTTTTCCCATCATCTTCACGTGTCTCTCCCACAGTTTTTCCATTGGGCAATATTTTGTTCAAATCATCTCCAAAGCATTTTTGGCATGCATGCCAAACACAGCCATTTACTTCAATTGCCCTATCTTCTGCCGCTATATATCCATCTACTTTATATTTTCCATCCACTACATGTTCGCCACTTTCCGAATGTGCACTTTGTATTTCCACTCCTTTTGTTTCTTCATACCATTGTAAATATTTCAGGGCAAGCTCACTTTGATTATCAATATTTTCATATCCCTTTTCGGGAACAATTGCCAAATGTTCAGGCTGCAGATGATTGAGTCGGAAATGTTTCATGCATGCCGATGCAATTGTCATTGCATCCTTCAAAATATCGATTCCTTCAACTACTGCTCCAGGTCGTGTAGTTTTCTTTTTGCTGATCTCCGAAAATTTTTTTCTAAAGGCGATCAATGCTTCTGTAAGTATTTGTACATCGTTTGTGCAATATTCAGCCAAAGCTTCATCCAAACAAAATTGATTATTTTTTTCAACTTCATACCATTTATCAAATTCGTTTTGCTTTTGAGGGGGCATTCCTCCATATAAGTAATCAGATTTCGGGGGTAGTTGTTGTAGAGTTCTACCATAATTTTCAGAGATGTTTGCCAAATGCGGGAAAAATTGTTTTTCAGTTACTTGTAGCCCAAATGCACCAATCAGCTTCCCCAGAGCGACTGGACAAAGGTTATACGAGTCCCGGAATATAACCTCATTGCATTTATTGTTGCGGGGAATTTTCAATTCATAAAGTTTATTACCACGACGAATTATTGAGGGAACAACGCCATTTACATATATTTCTATGAACACCATAATCATATCATAACGCCCTCCATTGTGTGAAAATGCCATTGTTGTATATTGAGGGTTAAGTTCAAAAAGAATCCATTGTATGAAGAATCTAAGCGGGTTTTGTGTGACGATTTGCTTATCAACTTTTGTTTGATTGAATGGACGGTGTGAAAATGTTATGGATCGATTGTTCCCGCAGATTGTACAACTATTTCCTTTTTGCCTTAGAGGTGAGCGCCATAATTGTTCATTTTCCATGCATTTTGTACAAGTTACTGTTGCTGCGATAAAGTTTACGTTGTGTAGCCGTCTTTCTTCATTATCATTTTTTATCACTTCATTTTGTGTGGCCTCAAAATCGAAAGTAACCAGACGATAATCAACTCCTTTTTTCAGTTCCAAAGGGCGAATAAAACATCCTCTATCCACGTTGTGAAACTGACGACAAATTTGACACCACTTTTGACCACAAACATGTTTCTTTTCAGCCTCTCTCTTGTAATTTTTCATTGACCAGATTACTCCACATTTATCACACTGTTTTGTTTGGCGGCAATTGCTAATCTTTTTGTGATGGTTGAAGCATTCTCCATTCAAATATATTTTCCCACATTCATCACATTTCTTGTAAAAGTCTCCTGTTGCCACACAAGGTCGTTCACTTCCAATGCGTCCACATAATCTGCAGAGAGATTTACATTTCGAATCATGTTCCTTTGACTTTCGAAACTTTTTTTCACAAGTAAAGCAGTATTTGTGTTTCAACCCAAACATACCTCCAACAAATCTTATTCCATCAAAATGGTTATTTTTGTGAAAAATTGAAATAGGCATGTTAAAATTATCGTTCCCATATTTGAATATAGGTTTCTCACTGATACTTCCAAAAATAAATACTTTAAATTTATAGCCTGCATCCTTGTATTTATTATTCCAAAAATCGACAACAACTGGTACATATTCCACAGCATCATATTCAGGAAGATCATGAGGGATTTTTGCTGATTTTAGGAGGTTGAAAACATCATCCATTTGTCTGTCGCCATTTTTTAAATATCTTGAAAAGTTCCATTTAGCGCCCAATTCTTTAGCAAAATATTTTCTTGTTATTTCCAGCGCATAGAATAAACATAAATTGTTTGGGTTTGAAATCTTTATTAATCGATCAATATTTATATGTGTAATTATTGCAGAATTTTCTTGGGGTGCGCGTCCTCTAATTGATTGATTCTTTGGCAATGATGAAATACCAAGTGTCTGGATTTTAACTGTGAATGGTTGGCCAAGAAGAGAACCTTTTTCTATCTTAGATTGAGAAACAAGCTGGAATCTATTGAGAATGTTATCGATAGTATCATTTTCAATTTTTCTAATTGGGATCCATATGTCGTTGTCTAATAATTGTGAAGATATTATAGCTCCTAATCGGTCAGGTTCAATTGATTGCCTTCTTGAGGCTTCGATGGTTTGATCCATACAATCGTGAATTATTTTTCTCAGTAGTTCCTCCGGATTCTCGGGTAGCTTTTCAATAATAAACTTGCCTGTTGTCCCCATTATTTTAAATTTACGGTTAAATGATGTATCGTAGTCTATTTGTCGATAATAGTTTTGCAAATTTAATGCACCTGCACCGGTTTGTGTGTCAATGAATAAATGTGGAAGATCTCGGATGAGAAATCTTGCGCGCTTATTGGCAGAGGGTGCAGTTTGATCGTTATTAAATGCCATTTTAAAGTTTTTAATTTTAAATTGTAGAAAGTGTTTTTGGTTTTTGAGTTAAATGGTTAAGACATTTTGAATGTTGGTATTTCGAAATAATTAGCTCCGCCCCTTACATTTGTACTTCCGTTCATTTTTTAAAATCATTTTAATTTTTTCTAGAATTTTGTCAAATTTTATCCCTCATTTTTTAATTTATAATTATTTATTAAATTTTATGATTTATTTTTATTATTTTTTGACATTTTAAAATTTTTTGGAAATTTTTTAAATTTTGAAATGCCCGCCAATTTTTAAATTTGGCATTTTGAAATAAACCTCTTACATTTGTACTTCCGGTCATTTTTTAAAATCATTTTATATTTTATGCAAAATTTTGTAAATTTTATTTTTTATCATTTTTATTTAATTAAAACTATTTTTATTTAATTTTTTAAATTTATTTTTAAATTAGAAAGTCCCTTTTAACTTTTTCTTTCAAGACTAAAAATATTTCAAAATGTCAAATTTCATATTGTCAAATTTTTTAACAAAATGTGTCTCACCATGAAACGTCACAAAAATTATTTTTTCATTCCTCACAAAGGCCAAAGGGAAATTAATAATGGAATGATTAATTACCCTAATTAATCGTGATTAATTACCCCTAAACACTTCCCAAAGAAAGGTGTTTGTGGCAAATATCAAAAAATACCCCCTATAGGCTTAGGTTTTATTGATGAGGGAGTGAGCGATTTGGGTAGTGTGAGCGAAAAGGGTATGAGCGATTTGGGTAGAAGAGCGATTTGGGAGCGATTTGGGTATTATTAACTACTGCCCTGCAACCAAGGGGTGGTAAGAAAAGGGTGGTTAGGAATATGAAATGTGTCTTTACCTTTTGGTTTCCTTTGATTTGCCGACTTCCTCCTCCATAAGGTTGCACGCAGTGCAACCTTGTGGGGGGGGGTAACTACTAGAGTGTAACACCAATAATTCGTTGAATATAGGAAAGAGGAAAGCAAATAAAATTATGAGAAAAAATATTTTTAAATATGTATAGGAAACTAAACGTTTGAGGATCATAATTGAAGGAAGAAATATTTTAAAAAGGTGGGTTGAGGGAATTATTTAAATAAGAAATGAGGAATGATGGAAAGTATTTATGGAAAGAATTTATTTTCTGAGAATATTTGTTGAGGAAATGTTATTAAATAAAAGATGAAAAATAGTTGGAAGTAATATTTTTAATTGGATTAAAAATAAATTTAAAAAATCATTTAATTATCTCGAATATACATATAATGGAGAAAGGAGTATAAGGTGTTGATAAATTTTCTTTTTTTAAAATTTAGTTAATAAACCAATGAAGCAAGTAAATAAAGATTTTTTTAGCATATCTTTTAGTAGAAACAGCAAGAAAAAGTATATTTGTTTTCCCTAGAGAATTTAAAAAGTGAACACAAATCCTTTAAAAACGTGATGATTGAATATATACACTAAATAAATACAAGTATTGCCTTTTGCTTTTTATCATTTTGTTGCCAGCTTTTTTAAAGCATTAAAAATCTGTAAAAGAAAAATTGACTAAATAAATATTGAAAAAAAAAGATTTTTTGTGTTGGGTTTCTTTTTAATCTTTTTGACCTCCTGTTTTGTCTAACAATTTTTTGTAGTTTAAAATTTATTTTTTTGATATTGTAATTATTTAATTTATCCAAAATTTCTGCGGATTTGGAGCCTCATATTCGTATCCATCCATCAGATTTTCAAAAAAAACAATATCCATATCCGTCCGGTTATTATCTGTATCCATGCACCAGTCTGGTTTAAATCGCTTTTAAAAAATAATTTTATTTTGGCCAATTTTATAAAAACAAATTTAATTATCGAACTATTAACGTATTAGTAAAATATTTACGTAATTTCTTTAAATTAATTCTTCAAATTTTAATACATTTATTTCAAATTATCCCAGTATATTTTCGTGTTTATTTACTCCAATTTATTTTTAAAAAATTCTCTTTCTAAACATCCCTCCACTACATCCTTCCGGATTTCTAATTTTAAAGAAAGCAAAAATTAAACTCTTTTTAGTACTAAAATGCCAGCTAGAATATTTAAAAAAGAATTAAAGTACTACAAAAAAAGTTCCTTAATTTTTAATTTAATAATTTAAATGAAAGAAATAAATATATTAATTAATTATTTAATATTTTTCATAATATTTTTAATTGAAATTATAAAATCAGAATGTAAGTTGATAATAAAAATTAAAAGATTATTTTTTAATAAATCTTTTTAACTCCTCTCCTCATTAATTAAATTAAATAATATTTTAAGTATTTCTATAAATACCCCACTATATATCAAGTACCTCACAAATTTTTTTATAAAATTTGATAATCCCAAAAATATTTACTAAATAACTTTCAAAAAAACTTTCAAGATCAAAAATTAATTTTTTTAGCTCCTCCAAAATGGGAATGGGAACCTCCAGCAATTATAGAAATGCCAGAAGATTCTTCTGTTGATTTACACTGTCCAGTAAGAGGAAGGCCATCCCCAATAATTCGTTGGTCTTTTAATTCAATTCCTTTTTATGGTAATTAATTAAATATTTGAAAAATAAAAATTATTTAATTAAATAAAAAAGAATTGTCTGATGATTATAATAATAGAAGAATTCAATTAAATGAAGGTCGGTTATTAAGAATTAATTCTTTAAAAAGAGATTTGGATACTGGCTTATATCAATGTAATGCAACAAATATTGGAGGCTATTTGGATTCTTCTACTTATTTAAATGTTTTGGGTAAGTTTCTAAAAATAATTTAAAAGTGGTTATCTTTTCTCTACTTTTTCTTTAAAAGATTGGAAAATTTGAATATTTTTCTTTTATTCAATTAAATTAACCATCTAAAACTTTACTAAATATTATCATTATTTTGTAAAAATATTTTGCTTTCTAAGCATTCGCTCCTCGTTTTCGTCATAGTAACCAAAGAGTTTGGAAAGTATTGCGTGATTCTAGTGTTGATTTAAATTGTGATGTAGAGGCTGCCCCAATAGCGGAGGTTCAATGGGTTGATGGTAAATTATAAATATATTATTTTAAATAATTTTTTAACAGCAAATGATACAAATATTTTGCCTGTTCCGGGAAAATTGGAGGTTAAAAAATATTTTTTGTTGAAATATTTCTTTGTTTTTAAAGATATTTCCAAATTTTACCCTTCGTTTGCATTCATTGAGTAGTTCAGATGATGGTTTTTATTATTGTAATGTTAGCAATAAATATGGGTTAAATCGAGCTTTGAATAGATTGGAAGTTTTTAGTAAGTTTTTATTTTTAATTTATTTATTGTTAATACATAATTACCTATTTTGATTTATTTTTAATTTAATTTTTAAGTTTATTTCCCCTTTAAATAATTTATTAATTAATTTTATTTAATTTTAGCACCAACATTTTTTGCTGAAATACCCCAACCTTCAAGAATTACTTTAGATGCAAATTCCCCAAACTCAAATCATTTAGAATTACGTTGTAAAGCAATTGCTGATAATCGTTTAAGTATTGATTATATTTGGACAAAAAATGGAAGTCCAATTAAAAATGAAGAAAATAATAAAATAATTATAGAGTAATTATTTCTGGAATTTTTAAAATGAATCAAAAAAAAATTTTTAGAGAAGATGGGACTTCAATTCTTCGTTTATTCCATTTAAGTGGCCACCATACTGGACATTTAGAGTGTTCAGCTGTTACTGAGGTTGATGTTAAATCTGCAGCGATAGATCTGTTTGTTAGAGGTGTTTACTTATATATTAGAGATTAATATATTGTAATATTATCCTATTTGATAACCTCACATCAGATATTTTCTCTCAAAGAATAATTGAAATTTAAAATTTAAGAGACTTTCTAATAAAAAATGATTCTATTACATTAAAGAAAATTATTTAATATTAATTTTTGTTTTCTAAAAGATGTCCCAGAAAGGCCAGAATTAATGCGTGTAGATTGCTCTTCTGGAAGGCATGCCTTACTTGTTTGGAAACGGCCTTCAATAAATATTTTAAATAATGAACTACCTTTAACTGCATTTATTGTGGAAGCAAAAACTGACCAAAATTCAGAAAATTGGGAAAAAGTTTTCGAAGAATATTTGGGAGGAGAAGAAGAAACGGCTACTGGACCTAGAATATTACACAAAACAGCAATTCCTTTAAGACCTTGGGTTTTTAATTTAATTAAATTTTTTAAAAATACTTATTAAATTTAAAAATTCGCTAGAAATTATTCTAAAAAATAATTTTAAAGGCTAATTACACATTTCGATTGTTTGCCGTTAATGCTCACGGGTCTAGCCAACCTTCTCAACCTATGCCCTCTTCTCCATTAGAATGCTCCTCTCCACTGGATGTTCCTTTTCAAAATCCTTTGGCTGTAACAGCAGCTGGTAAATTTATTTTATAAAATATTTTTTAAAAATATTTTTTAAAGGAACTGAGCCAGATAATTTAATTATTAGTTGGCAGCCATTACCGCGTGATCGGTGGAATGCTCCTGGATTACGTTATTTAGTGAGATATAGAAGATTAGATACAAAAGATGGAGACTGGAATGAATTTCTTGTAGAGGATCCTTTTGCTGTAAGTTTGGAAAATAATTAGGGATAGTAATTTAATGAGAGAAATATTTTTAAATTAACGAATCAAAGAGGCCACAAAATTTTTATTTTAATAATTTTTGGTCCTAAAGAGTCATCAAAATTATTTTCATAGAGAAAAAAATTCAAAAACAAAATTGAAAATAATCTTTTTCTTTTTAAAGAATCAAACAATAATTCGAGAACAACCAACATTTCGCCCTTATCAAGTTCAAATTCGAGCAATTAATTCTTTGGGGTTTTCTGCATTAGAACCTCCAATTGTTGAAGGATGGTCGGGAGAAGATGGTGAATTAATTAATTTACATTATTGTAAAAATTATTTATTTATATTTAGTTCCAACAGAATCACCTAAAAATCTTCGCTTAGCAGAGCATCACAATTATTCTTTTGTTACGTTAGAATGGGAACCTATAGAAAATAGGTAAATTAATACAAAATATAAGCAAATTTAAGAAAATTATTTTAGCTCAATTAGAGGTCATTTTCGAGGATATAGAGTAAATTAATTTTATTTAAAATTGAAAAATAATTTAAAAATAATTAACAAAATTCTCAAAATTTAGATTAAATTAATGGACTTAAATTTTTAAATTATAAAAAATTATCTATTCTTACGAGAAAGGGTTTTAATGATAAATTATTCCTTCCTAAAATTCAGGACTCAAATGTACTTAACTGACATATACCTAAGAGTCAAATGTGTTGATATGAGTAGAGTAACTTACTCTGTGCTCTCTAACTTTTATTTTTTTCTGAAAATTTAGTTTTTGATCAGAATTATTTTATACTTTGTGGATAGCCCGAAATAAACAAAACTGTTTTTACCTATAAATAAATAATTTCCAAAGAAAATATTCAAATTTTAAAAGATTGATTATTGGATGAATATTCACCCAATAATTGTACATTCTCTCTATTCAACATCAAATAGCCAATTAATTGGAGGTTTAGAAGCATTACAATATTATACAGCTAAAGTACATTTATTGAATAACCGATTTGAAAGCAAACCTTCAAATCTTTTGGAATTTAAAACAATTGAAGGAAGTAAATGAATCAAATAATTAATTAAAAATAAATATATTTAATTCAGTTCCTTCAAAAGTTCACAATTTACGTGTTCATTCAGTTGGTTCTCGTTCAGTTCTTGTTACATGGCAACCACCTTTACATCCAAATGGAAATTTGAGAGGATATTTTATTACATTCCAAAGTAATTTCCTAATAGATTTATTGTTGAATAGTAGAGATCTGAGATCCGCAGTCCCAGTTCTTATCTCAAAATCGCTCCCTCGTATAGCCTCCTAAGACGGAGATAAAAGCAATGTCTTAATATTACTAGCACCAAAAGATTTTCGAGATTAATTTACACTTTAAAGATGCATTGATTGCTTTTCATTAAAAATTACTCTTGTCTAGAGACATCTAATTATGTCTAATTTATTTAAAAATCTTCATAATTAACAGACGGACTTACTGATCACATTGAAGAAACCTATGTTTTGCATCGTCAACAATTTTATTTACACGAACAATTAAAGCCAAACACTCCTTATAGAATTTCTGTTTGGGCAGAAACTGGCGGAGGGGAAGGACCTCGTCTTTGGAGGAATACAAAAACTTGGCCTTTTCGAAGTTTGAAAATTAAAAAAAAATTTAAATAAAAAATTTCTTTTAAGGTCCAGATTCTCCTTTATTTTCTGTTCGTACACAAACAAAATTAATTAATTCAATTTTAATTAATTGGTTGCCAATAAATTCTGGTGTGGGAATGAGAATGAGTGGAACTTCTTTTGCTGTTAATTACACAAGACAAGGCTAATTATTTTTTTACTTCTGATTTTTGAGTTTTCCAAAAAATTATTTTATAGGAAAAATTATTTTTGCTGTTAATTACACAAGATTTAATAAAAGAAATAAAATATAAATAATTTAAAGATTTTAACGATGAATGGAAACTTAGTGAATGGATTACTTTACCCCAAACATCACTTGAATTGAAGAATCTTATGGAAGATACAGATTATATAATAATTGGTATTTCTAGAGAAATTGGTGCTTCTTTATCTTATTCAAAACCTTTAACAATTAAAACTGAAAATTATAGAATGATTTCTTTGTTTAATAAAGGTAAATAATTAATTTTTAATAAAAAAATTTTTATTGGAAAAGTGAAAGATCAAACCTTATTAGATCACTATAATTTTAGAATTTTTCAAAAATAAATGTTTAGACTATCAAAGTTTAGGTTTTATTAATTTATCAAACTCCTCCTATGTATTACCCTCTTTTAGAAAATCTTTAATTAATTAAAATATTTTTTTCAGAACGTATTCGAAGTGCCGCTTGGTTTCTCTCTGTTTTAATAGTTAGTGTAATAGTTTTATCAATTGTTTGTGCAATGTGTGCATTATCACAAAGAAATTCTGGTGGATTAGTTGGTGTAGTTAATGGAATTAAATTGAGAGAAAAAAGATTTGGGCCGGCATTTAGAATAGATAATTTAAATAGAGATGATTTGTCTTCTGAAGAAGGGTCTTCATCTTCTTCTAATTATTTAATTATGAAACCAAGAAATGTTAAAAAGGGTGGGTAATTTTTGGAAATTTAAAAATTAAGGGAAAGAATTCCCCTTTTAAAAATTTATTTTAAAGATGAATCAAAAAATGAGAGGAACAATTTTATAGAATGAGTATCAAGTGAAAAAAATTAAAAAAAAATTTCTTAAAAATATTTTTTATTATAAAAATTTTATGTAAATATGTTTTTTATAATTTTATTCAAATAAAAGTTATTTAAAAAATAATATACCTATAATATATTTATCAATATTAATTTTTAAAGAAAGTTAATTAAATAATGATTATGTTGTTTAAATTATTTTTAGTTAACCATAAGCAAGTTTTTTAAAATTATTCTCCTATCTTTTTAAAGACCAAAAGACTCCTGAATATCCAACTTTGCTCATAGTAAAAAAATAAAATATTTAAAAATACCCGTTAACAAATAAAGAATGTATGTATTTTTTTAGGAATCGGAAAATTTAAATAATTATTTTTCTGAAAGTTTTGAATGAATTTTAGTAATTCCGATTCCTAATTATGTAAATAAAAAATATTTTTTGTCAAATACGGCTATAGTCTCCCGAAGATAACGGCCCTTTCCAGCCTTGCCCCTTCGGCACTATAACCGGAGATTCGACTTTAATTAAAAAAACAATAATTAATTTAAGGTAGCATAAACATTTTCTTCATAATATGTTGGGGATATAGTAATTGTTCTATTAACATTTCCACTCTCTTTTTTATTTCCTCCCAAACTAGCAGCAACACACTGTTTTAAACGTTCACCCAATCTTTGCTGCTTAGCTTCCAAATTATTTTCTAAACATTCAATTAATTTAATTCCATTAGCTTTAGCCCATCCAAATAATTCTTTTAAAGCAATAGAGGGTGATAGACCAATAGATTTATTGTCTTCATTTAATGTTGATAAATATTCATAAAAATATTGGGGAGAAATTGGGGGTTGTTCTTGTATTCTTTTAATTAATTGAATTGATAATGGACGATAACTTGAAAATAAATTAATTTTAAAAATAAATTAAAGGAGATTTAAGTAAACTAATATTTTTAAATATTAGCCCTCTAATTTAAAGAATTTTTTTAAATTTTTACCGAGCAATTTCAGGTGCAAATAATAATTTACAAGAAGGACTTTCTTTGCCTAATTTCAATTCAGATAAAGAAAATATATCAACAATTGTTTGCCCTAAAACAGCAAGAGAACCAACAAGTGTTTGTTGCCTTTCAGGAACATCAAAAAGAAGTGAAGGAGATTGAATTAATTGTTGCCAAAAACGAAGAACCCAACAATTAGATTTCCAAGCGTGGAGGGTTTCTTCGGTGATTGGAACCTTTTTTGAAATTAAAAATAAATTTTAGAATTTTTTAAATTTAATTTTTAAAAGCCTAGGAGGAAATATTTTTAGTCTTTCAATATTTTTAGCAAATGAAAAATAATACAACATTTTTTAAAATTTTTAAAGAAAATATTTGAATATTTTACATCATTAATTCAAATTAATTTTCAATTTAAAATAATTTTTCCAAAAAATTTATTTTTTACTTGACTCTGAGCTGCCTGAATATCCAAAAAATCAAAAACATATTTTAAAACAACAGGTATTTGTTGTTGTTTTTGCTCTATATTTGAAGAAGAAAGTAAAATAGCTTGTTCAAAAAATGTTTCAAAGAAACGTTGAAGTGCTCCTTTACACATTAAAAGTCGAGTTAATAAAACTTCTGGAGGAGGCGGGGATTTCTCAATATTTTTAGTTGAAAGAATATTTTTGTTGTTGGATAACTTATGTCGTTTTTTATTTTTCTTTGAATTTCTTAAAAAATATTTTTAGAAATTTTTTTTAATGTTAAGAGAATCAAGTGATCACTTGAATGTCAAGTAAAAGGAAATGATTTTAATGAGAAAAAATTTATTTTTGGGTTTTGAATTAAGTAAAAATTAAAATTTACTTTTCTTTATTTTCATTTAATAAATTATTTGTTTTTGTCGTCATTTGTGTAGAAAGATGGAAATAATGAGGTTGTAATATTTTATTATTATTTCCAAAATTTTGTAAAGACGTAAAAATATGTGGGGAATCATTTGAAGCAGAAGATGATGTTGATGAAGCAGATAATAAAAGTTGATTGGCAGAACTTCTCCATCCACCACCAAGTGTTGAATGATCACTTGACCTTTTTTGGATATTTTAATTAATTTTTAGGTAAATATTTGAAAGTCTTATACAAAGAATTAGTAGTTCTAAGTAATCAAAATATTCAAATTTACCCGCTACGGAATGTATGTTGTTGTTGAGAGTGTACAATAGGGGGTGGAACTATTTTCCATTGCATATACAAAAGAGATCTGTCCAGTACTCCATAATATGCTAAAGTATTTAGACGTTTAGGTTCCCGTCCTCTAACTGATGTTTTTGTTTCTTCATCGTCAAGTAAAATAATAGGACCACGTCGGGGGCAACGCCATTCTAATGAATAAATTATTTTTTAGAATTTTGGATATTTGGGTAGAAATTACCCAAATCAAAATGTTCAACACATAAACGTCTTTGTGAAAAAGGCAAAGCCACATTTTTAGAATAAAGAGCATCTAACAATTTTGCCTTAGTCTGTCCAATAGTATCACAATCAAGAACTCGAAATTGGACAGGACTAGAAGGAATTAACAATTCCTGAGAACTTTCTGTTTCGTCCAAAGGAATAACAAATAAATTTAAAGTTTTAGCCTCCAAAGGTTCTCTTAGTAAAGATTGTTCAGCAATTGAATAACGTGATTGGCCTGTTATAGCATCAACTGGGCCCTAAAAAATATAAATTAGTTAAAATATTTTTATATTTTTTGCCTTTTCTGTGAGGGCTTTAAGTGCCCTATAAAGAAGAAAGAGAGGTCTTGCAGGTCCTCCTTCTTCGCTTTGTAGCCATGGAAGTAAGGAAATGCAAAGCCAATGTTGAAAAAGTTTTTCTACCAAAGATTCTGAATGACGAAATAAAAGGGGAGGTTGCTGAAAATTTAAGAAAAACTTGAAATAAAATTTTGTAAAAATTTTTTACATTATTTTGGTTTTGCAAAAGACAACAACGCTGAATATGTGCAGAAAGTAGAGAAAGTACAACATCAGAAAGAAATGCCCAATCACGGCCTAAAGTTACCAAAAGAAGAGAAGCGAGCATTGAACGTTCTGACGCTCTGAAAAAAATTTTTATTAGAATAATCTTAAAAATTTTCAATAGGAAATATGTATTATGTCTTTAATCAAAAGATATTTTCAAAGGATATTTCAAGGAAAAAACTTCTAAAACAAAAAATTCACCCCATATTATTATCTTCTTCAGCCATTTGTACAAGAACATAAAGAAAAGATCTATTTTGTAATAGAGATTCAAATTGTGCAAAAGCAACAGGTGATGGTTGTTGTAATGTTTGAACACCCAAAAATGTTGGGAAAGTTTCTCCTTTAAAAAGTAATCGAGAAATAAATTCTGAACGAGACAAAATTGGTGGTTGAATTAATAAATTATTTGTTGTCGGGGTTTGTATTGTTTTCTTATTTAAAGTTCCATTATTGTCATAATTTGAAGGATTGTCATCAAAATTAAGTAAAGTAGGCAATTTTCCATTCTCTATTACAGTGTCTAATTCAGAAAGAACATCTGTTTGGAGTTCAGCAAATGCCTGAAAAAGAATAAAAGAATACTATATTCTCAATTAAAAAATAATAATTAACACTTAAAATACCCTACTTGTTTGCATTCTTGCCGTACTTGACTTTCCATTTGTTCCATTTGTAATTGTATACGTTTATAGGACCTTTCATTTTCTACACCTTGACAACGCCGTCTTCTCCAACCCAAAAGTGCTGCTGTTACCGTTCCAATTGCAAGTAAAGCACATGCTATAGCTGCCAAAATTGCAGCTGCAGCAGCTTTTTGACGGGGAAGAAGACGTGCAGCAATTCCCTCTCCAGAATTCAACGAATTTTCTGTTGAATCTCCTCCCAAGTAGTCTAATGGGCCAATTTCAACACGCACACGGCCAACACGAACAACAACCAAAGGGCGGCCATCGGCCATTTCTGCACCAGAATCGTCTGTGGGTAATGGACGATGGGAGGGTGGACGACAAAGAAGGTGATCTGGTTCGAGAAGAAATACCTTGAAATTTAGAAAAGATTATTTTTTAAAGCAAAAAGAGAAATTAGGAAGAAAAAATCTTTAAATTTTAAATAAGATTTTCAAACTTACTGGACAACGTTCCATTCCAATAGTAACATAATACTCATCAGGATCAGCTGCCTGGCTTAGCCATTGTCCAGATAATTGAAGTGGTTGATCATATTGAAGTTGTTGCACACCAATAAATGGAGAGAATTGTGGGTCAGGAACTGTTGTTAACTAAAAATATTTTTCTTAATAATTAAAAACCTATTAGGCATTCCTCATTTTCGTGTTACCCCTTTATCTCTCATTCTCAAAAATTAATTAGATTTTAAATTAAAAAATTCCACTACCTGTATTTTATCTCCAAGATTTCTAACACTTTGTACCCCATCCATAGCAAAACCAATATTCCATCTAGCCATTTGTGAATGTCTTAATAAAGCTGTAGGTAAAGCAAGACGAGGACTTGGACAAATCATTTGTGTTTTATTTATTAATATACAAGTTCCAAGTTCACTAACTAATTCCCATTCATCAGGAGAGGCATTTGAAACAATTGGAGGTGAAAGAAGGAAAATTTTTGGTGAAATGATTGAATCGAAATTATTGCCAAATATCTGAAGAAAAAAATTAGGGATTCAAAATACTTTAAATTTATTACCGTTAAATTCCTTCCACCACCTTCAGGGGCTGTTCTAGGCTGTATATCAATTATAATTGGATCAGCTCTATATTCAAATCGAGCATCAGGAATTAAACGAACTGCTTTATCTATTTGTAGTCTAATAGCGGTAACTGTATAGGTCCGTCTAGTACTAGAGCCAGTTAAACATGAAAGTTGATCAGACTGCATTTAAAAGAAAAATGAATAATTTGTTAAATTTCTAGGGTAATTTTACATAAAATTAATAAATAATTAAAAATATATTTTAACAAAATTAACAAGTAAATTCACCAATCGTTCTTCTCCAACAATTTGACATTCCAAATTATCAAAATGTACGCTAACATTTCTTCCAACATTTAAATTCTTTCCAAAAATTTCAAAACGAGTACCACCACTTTGTGGCCCAAAATTTGGCTGAACAGAAATTGGTTCAGGACTTAAATAATTAAATATTCCATTATTATTTTGTTGTCTGTTTTCATCATTTTTTCCTTTAATTGAATCGACACTTCTACGTCCACTCCTTCCAATTGTTATTTTTATTGGTCCAGAAATTGGAGATAAAGAAGGGCCAGTCTCACAAAGAATTCTTTCAGAAGCCTCATAATGCTTTATTTGGCAAGGAATACCAGCAATCAAAACTCTGTCTTTTACATCTTGAAGATGGGAACCTAAATCACGACCAATAATTTCAACAAGTGTTCCACCCTCTAAAGGGCCGCTATTTGGTGAAAACTGAAAAAATTTTGTTGAAAATTTAAAAAAAAATTATCAGAATAAATTAATTGGAGGTAAAATAAATTTAAATGCAAATATTTTTCTTCAAAGTTATAGCGAGAATCTTTATTTACCCTAAACATAAAAATGTTCAACATTTTCCTAAAGCAATACTAAACCCCACCAAATTAATTCACTTTATAATAATCAAACAAAAATTCAATTTTATATTAAATCACCGAATAAATAGTTGGCGAAGTACATAATTCATCTGCAGCTGCAGTTCTAGAATCCCTTAAAGACGATGAACATTTTTCAACATGTCTGCATATTCCCCCACACCAAGAACAGCTATAAACTGGATCTAAAGCCATACAACGAGAACAATCTGTTGCCATATATTCACATTTATAGATTGAAACTAAAATTATTTTTGAAGAAATTTTCAGACTTTTACTCTTTCTTCTACCTTTTGTAGCATCAAATGGTTCTAAACCTGCTAATAATTCCAAAGTAAAATTCTTTATAGGCAGATGTTCCTTATAACCAAATAATCCAATAGGACAACGAACATTCTTTCCATTAGATAAAATTGAAGCTTTAATTAAAGACCCTCCATCCATTCGACAATTAAGAGGAATTGATGTTGAAGGCAAATTCTCAACCGAAAATTCTAATGATACATTTGAAGAGTCAGGTACAACTAATTGAAGTCCATTAGCTTCCAAAATTCGTGCACATCCATTATTTTGGGTCTTTATAAAAATATTTTGTAAAAATTAAGGAGAATAATCAAATAAGTATAATACAGCAAATAAAGTTAATAAAAATAAGAAAGTTTTACCAAAGCATGTTCTCGAGGGCATTTATTACTCCAGTCAGAAACATCTAAACATCGCTTTTCAGTTGCACACCAACGACAAGGCCATTTAGAAGAGGCACATGATGAACATCTTAGAAAATAAAACTTTTTGAACAAAATTTTACATAATTCCAAACAAACAATTGATGGAAAGAACACGAAAATAATGTTAATGTTGTTTTATTTTCATTTCCATTTTTAATTTCAATTAAATTAGAATTAGTTCCAACAACACGAATTTGCACATTTACACGTTGAAAGTCATTTACTGATAAAGTTGAAAAACTATAAAAAAACATTTTATTTTTAATTTAATGAACAAACAGAAAATTACTTTTCTAATATAGGAGTTTCACATTCAATTCCATCATTTACAAGTCGAACAGAAGAACGAAATGGAATTAAGGATGAAGGACTGTTATCTTAATTAAATTAGAGAAATATTTTTTATGGGAAGAAAAATTCGAATCCGAACTAGAAAAGGGAAAGGAGAAACAATTTTTGTACTTGGCCAAAATTTAGTTTGATTTAAATATTTTATTAATAATATCGAGGTTAGAGAGCACAGAGTAGGTTACTTTACTCATGACAATACTTCCGACTTTAGATATATGTCGATTAAGTTCATTTGAATCCTGAACTCTACAAGTTTAGGGAGGCTCTTTTTAATCCTTATTAAGAAATAACATTAAAACTTAAATATCCAGTTTTGTGTGGATAACCAAAAAAGGGAAAATATTTACATAAATTATTTATATTTAATTAAAAATTAATTTTACCTTCAATTTTAAAATATAAACATTCCAATTTAATTTTTCCTGTTTGAATTGAATTTGTCGGTAATCCAATAAGAGGTACAAAAATTTGTTCTTGTCTTTGAGAAGATGAAGAAATATTTTCCGGTCTAATATGTCCTCGAATATTAGGACAGTTTTTTAAATAAATGGAAGAAGTTAAAGCTGATGGAGATGGACAAGATGTTGAATGGGTACAACGACCTAATGAAAGGCACCTAAAAAATAAATAAATGATTTTTGAATAAAATAAGAATTTAACCAAGCACACAGAGGATCTCCAGAATTAATACAATCAGAACAGCTATAACCATTAAAGGATAATTCAAAATTATCATCACAAGAGGAGAGGCGAAGTAATAGAACCTTTTAAATAATTAAAAAAATTTAATTCTATTTTTAAGTCCCTCAATCATAAAAAATATTTTCATTTTATTTAATTTCCGTTTTTAGAAAAGAAAGAAGTTTCCTGTTCGCCATATCAGTAGGAGATGGGCCAAGATAAAGGGAAAAGAAATAATAGAAAATACCGCCAAAAAGTCTCAAAAATACCCCCAACTGTCATGGCTCATTAACCTCATTTGTGGGATGAGAATATTATAAATATAATTATTTTATAAAGGAAATACCGCTTTTCTTATCTCTATTTTGTTGGGGAATCTTTATTACGGAAGCAATCAAAGAAATTTTTAATAAAAATTATTAGGAATGAAAAATAAATAATTAAAAATTCTCCCAAAAAAACTTTTAATTATGGGAAGTTAAATAAAAAAAAATTTGTATTATTTTTAATTAAAAATTTTCTTAGAAGCTTAAAAATGTCAACAACTTAATTCTTAATTAATTAAATAAATTCCAAGTTCTTATTTAATTTAAGGAAGATTCTTAAACAATTTTTTAAATTTATTTTTTATTTTCCTCTAGATAATTTCTAATTAAATTCTGCTTTTTTTTAAATAAAATTAAAAGCTTATAATTAGCCTTCTAAAAAAAGCTTCAGGTTTTAAAGCCAAAAAAGATGTTTAAAAATTCTGGTTTTGTTATTTAAGTCTTTGTTTTTTTGTTTTTGTCTGCCTTTAAACACTTTTTCACCAGAGATATATTCAGAAGATAAGAAAGGAATGATCAGAAAACGGAAAAAATGTTTTATTAAAAAATTGTCTGATTTAAATGCTATGAGAAAATTTTTAAACAAATTTTATTTTATTGGGAGAAGTTGAATTTTCAAGTTAAAGTTGAATTGAAAAGAAGAAGTGTTGATTGATCCACTGAGATAAAAATTTTGATTAGCCTTTTCTCTTTAATATAAAACCTTTACTTCATTTAAATATTTTGAATTCTTCCAAAGTCTTTACAATACTATACTTAACAAAAAATAACAGAATTCCAAATAAAACTAAAAAAAGTTTCAGAAAAACAAAACAAATGATGCGAAAACTCAGATCAAAATAAAAATACCGCAAAGATCAATACAAACGATAATAACGGGAAAATAAAAAAATAATAATGCCGAGAAATTCATCATTGTCATTTTTTCATCATCTTTCCCCTTTTGTTTTACCTAAAATCCCGCTGAGTTTCGCAAAGTAAATGATATACAAGAAATAAAAAGAAGAATTTTTACATATTTTTAATTAATTAGAAAAACTAAAATTAATTAGGAAAGATAAAAGAGAAAATTAAAAGTGTAAAAACAAAAATTTTTAGAAGAAAGTTTATAAAAATAAAGACTTTAAGGCTGTTAAAAATATCGATAAAACTCTGAAGAATTAATTTTTTAAATTGGTTTTAATTGCTATTAAAATTTCGCCGAGTTTCGAGGTTAAATTATGATACATTTAGAAAAATATAAACTGGATTGTTTTATCTAATCAAAAATTCCGTTTTATGTTGCTAATCAAATAATTAAATTCTTTAAATATATAATTTATGGCGTAAATATTTATTGTTTACTTTAGATATACTCATAAAGTTATTACTAAAAATCCTCCAATCTTGATTAAAAAAAAGAATAAACATTGTAACGGTAACTACATAATAGAAGAGAAAGAATTAAGTATTTAATATTGTAAATGAGATTTTAAAAATCGACAATTTTCGACCTGGATCCCCGGTATTAATGTATCCTAGATAATGTCCTCTAGTAGTGATTATTATGAATATTTCCCTTGACTTCCACACTCTTAGTTCAAAATTTCGAGAGTTAAAATTTAACAAACTTTTTACTTTCATTGTTATTATGTTATTTGATCCTTTTTTATTTTATTTTTGTATTTTTTCTTAAATATTTACATATGTATTATTTACACATTTTCGATGTTCTTTTGTTATATTTTTATTTATTTGGTGGTTAAATGAAGTAAAGAGGAGTGAACGGAAATATAGAGGGAAATGAAGGGGGATTTGGCACCTTTAAAGTAAGTTTATTTGAAAAGTTTGGATGTTTTTGTTTGTTTATTTACTTAGCCTTGTTTTTATAGTTATTGGCTCAAAAAATTTTTAAATGAAAATAAAAAGAGCTGTTTATTTACAAAGAAATATTAAATAATAAAAATTTAAATTTCCTCTTTTAAAAGCAAGAAAAGACAAATAAACAGGACAGCATATTTAAAAATAATTTTAATAGAAAATTATTTTTGTTCCCGATCATTTCGTGTAATCAAACAAAGAATTTTGGAAATAAAAATTAAACAAAACTAGCATTTAATTTTTAATTCACTTAACTGGGCCTCTTTTCTTACTTAAAATTTTTAATTTTGAATAACAAATTTAACCATATTAAATAATTATAATGGTTTTAAAATTAATATTTACTTACCTCTTTCCCAGCACTCAACAAAAATCGTTGTTTTTCACTAATTATTGCTATTCTTTCGATAGGATCAGCAACAACACGATAATCAGCATAAGGTTGAAGGCGACGAGTTGCACGTTCTCCAATTACCTTCATCTAGATTTTTAAAATTTTTTATTTAATTTTCCCTATCTATAAAAATATATTTCCAAACCCCCCCCCCCCCTCCCCTTTCTTTTAACAATCCCCCCCCCTCCCCTCGCTTTCAATGTCAGTGACCCATAAAAGAATTGCTCAAATCCATTTTTTCTCAACATTTCCGGATGGCATTGGCGCAAGTTTAGGAAAAGAGAAAGACTTGGCACTTTCAAGAATAAATGGAAAATTGGAAACAATAGCAATACTAATTGAGTCAATTTTCCCACAATATATTTATGCTTGAATCCAGAAGAAACAAGCAATCAGAGAAAATTGCTATTTTTTATTATTTTTTTAGATTTGAATGAATTTTGGAGAAAAATATTTAATTATAATTTAAAATCACCCCTTAAGAATGAAAGGAAAATAAGAGAATATGAGGTAGGCTATGAATGGAAACTTCCCTAAATTTCTTACTTACTAAATGGTTAAATTGAGATTTAAGTTGGGGATATTCAAGGCCTAATCCTTAAAATTCAATCATGTTAAATCCAAAAACAAAACTTACAATAAATATATGTACATAATTTCATTGTTTATTACTACTACTTAAAGATTTAATTCAAGAAAAAACTTTAATTATTTATATTTTTAATAATTTATTATTATTTCCTTTATAGTTTTAAATCTTATTTTCTCTTTTCTAGCTTAAAAGCCCACAGATGTGTGAAGGCAAAAACAAAACAAAATTAATGACTAGAAAGGCGACAGAAGGCTTAAGGATTTTTGAATATAAAAGTACTCCACAAACTAAGAAGGAAGTAAATATAAATAGAAGAACGGTAACAAATTCTAATGGCAAGGATTTGTGTCAGTTTTTGAGAGAAAGGAAAAGCATTCAGCGAGAATTATTAATGATTTAGTTGACCTTTTTAATTTAAAAAAAGAAAATATGTTGAGAAAATGGAAAAGCTTTATCTGAATTCAGAGTAATTGTAATTCTCTTCGAGAAATTATAGGGGAGGAAATGTCTAGAAAGGAGGGATATTACCTCTACATGTTTTTTTGTCTTTTCTGAACTCGTATTCAAAATTAATTTTAAATAATTTTTAAGTAATCTTTTAAATAATAAAAGTTACCATACCTGAATTACTTCCCCATTCTTTGTTCCAACAACAACCAACAAATGATTATCAACCTCTGCAACATCTAAAGCATTCAGAATACGTCCAGGAAAATGTGCCAATGCTGGTGCTGATGCTTCAATGGCGCCACCAACCCCAATAAGGCAAGTATCCTCAGAGAGAGGCAAATGAGAACGCTTAAAAAAATTTTTAAATAAAAATAATAAAATAATTATTTAATTATTTAAATATTTATTTTTATTTATTCTCCCCTCAAACTCGAAACTCCTCACAAAATTCCTCATATTTTTATTTAACCACCAATACAAAACTAAAGAAAAAAGACAAAAAACCGCATATAAATAACAAACTCATTAATTTCCCCAGAGATTTTCTTTTTCCAATAAATTTATTCGGCATTTATTTTTTTTCTAATTTACATTAATCTAAAGAATGACCGTTAGTTTTTCTAAAAAAAATTATTGGGGCTCTCTTTCCATCCAATAAAATCATCTATCAAAAAATATAAAAAAACGTTCCTTTTATTTTAAAAATCATGTCTTTCTTCCCCTCTTTCCTCTCATTTATCTTATTAAAATTGCCGCATTTTTGGAAGCTTTTGGGGAACGTAAATAAATGTTTTTTTGTGTTTTTTGAAATAAATTAAGTCTAAAGATGGTTTTTTCCATGGATATTTTCGTTTATGGATGGGTTTAAAATGGGAAACAGCGCCGTAATGCCCCCCTCCTAATCGCGCCATAAAACCCCCAATTTCTAATAAAAATAGTTTCTGTATAATAAATTAAAAACAAAAACAAAAACAAATTAATTTGTTTTTGCCAAAAACTCATTAAAAACAAAATTAGAAATAAAAAAATATTTTTTTGTTTTTAATGTTATTTTAAAGATTAAATGAGGTATACAAAAAAATTGGCTGTCGCCGGAAATAAAATTTAAAATAAAAAAAAATTTTTAAAGAACAAAGATGAGAAGAAAATAATTTAAAAATTAACAATAAAACCTTTAAATAAAAACATTTTTTTTCAGTATTTCTTTGTTTGTAAATAGGCATGTAATAAAAAAATAAATTTTTTTTTAAAAGGAGACGGCCATTTTTAAGAAAATAATTTTCGCGCGGTTTAAAGGTTTTCTATTGTTTATTTTTTTAATTTGCATATCTTCCCGTGATTTTTAAATGTTTTTTCTTGATTTTTCTTTTTTTTAAATAATTTTCTTGGTAAAAACGTTCAGAGAAAAGGTCATTTATTTTTTAAACGATCATTTTCTATAAAATGTTTTTATGTAAAAGAAAATAAATCAAAAAACAAAAAAATATTCAAATAAATATATTTGAATACGAATAAATTAAAAATGAGAAAAAAAAAGATCGGGAAAGAGAGATTGACAAAAATATTAATAAAAATCACCTATGTATGTAGTAGTTTTAAATAAATTTTATATTTAGGGAAAAAAGTAAAAAAATAAATATTTAGTCTAAATAAATTATCTAACCAAGGAAGGTTAGTTAATTCCCAAAAAGTTAGATTATGTAGATGCCCAAACAGGGAGATCAACTCAAAATTTTTTTAATTTTATTTAGTGTTTAAAGCTTGGGGTATTTGATGTTTAGAGAATAATTTCAAACATATATATTTTAATAAAAATCAACATACATTTGTGCATTTAGCATCTCTCCCAATATAAGCTAATCCAATATTGTCTGTCCCCCCTCTACATCTATCAATATTATACCAAAAAGTCATTCTTATTTTATTTAAAGAAAAGGCACAAATAGCAGAACGTTGTCCTTCATAATCAGTAAAAATAGCCCAAAGTTCCCTTTTATTTGAATAAAAAGTTCCGGCACGAGCAACGGCAAAAAGAGTATTGTCTTCGGCAGAACGGCATTGTAATTCTAATTCAGAATAGGAAGTATATCTGTGAAAAGGAGAGGGGTATTATATAATCTCAAGTCTTAAGTTGATAAACAAATTTTTAAATTTTGTTAATCTTGTGGTTGGGCCCTCTTACTACATTATTTTGAGACAAATTAACTGCAATTTTGTTAATAGAAATAAAATTAGTTTGATTTTCTTCTTATTTATTTCCGTTTCCTCATATCTAGTAAATACTATGTATTTTTATTTAATTATTATTTCCTCAATAACTACATATTATTTTGGCAAACATTTTCTCCATATCTCCCCCTCATTCTTCACTTCCTTTAGTAAAAATAGAGAAATTCCCTCTTCGAGAATAGGAGAGATAATCTCTCTCTACCCATTTTTACACAATTTTTCTCACATTTATGACACAATAACAGAAAAATATTTTCTATTAATATTTCCTTTAAATTGTTATTCTCTCACGGTGTTTTTTGGGATTTCATTATTTTTATATTAAAATTACCTATCATCTTCCAGGCAGACCCTAATTAATCGAGTAATTAAAGCAGCCCCAGTATTTGGACTTCTAGGCTGTACAGCTAGCCAATAAATAAAATGTTGGTCTCGAAAGGCATATAAATAATTTAATTGCATATGTCGACGATATTCAACACGAATATGGACAGCGGCCTGGAAAATATATTAAAAAAATTAACAATATTTACATCGTCTATAAATAATATTTTTTCCAAAATTAATAAGCCTAATAATTTAATTTTTAAATTAAATTAACTGTAGCTCGAATTTCCCGAAACACAGTCCTCCTCCTTCCCTTTCTAATGCCAAATTCCCTTCCCTTCTTTTTCTAAAATTATTCCCCCCCCCCTTACCTCTCCATCCAAACTTCCAGCATTTACAGTTTGTAATCCATCAGAAAGTAAACGTGTTGTAACTGCTGGAAAAGCTTCTCTATAAGGATTTCCTGTTGGAATTTCTGATGAAGTACCAGTAGCAACAAAAAGTCTATCTCCAACTAAAATAGCTGCAGTACTTGCCAAAGGTGAATTGGCAACAACGGGGACATGTTGCCAATTGCCTGAGAGAGAACGATGTTCTCTTAGTCTTTCTAATGTAGGGAAATTACGAAGTTGGCATTCTCCTTTAAATTAAACAAAGAATTTAAGAAAAACACAAGGGCTATTGTAAAAACATATTTCTATTTCAATCTTTTTTTATAAAAAATATTTATTTACCCTGTCTAACAGAACCACAAACAAGTAAAGCATTAATGTCTAATTTTGTTGAATTAATATTTTTATCTATTAATGGTAACAAAAGTTTATTCCAATTATCAGTGTCTACAATAGTATCTCTTGAACCAATACAAGAAGTTAATTCAGAATTGCAAAATGGACCTTTAAAAATAAATTTAAAAATAATTACCAATGGGGTGATTTAAATAGAAAATATTGGTGTTATTAGACTGGGATTGATAGGATAATTTTTATTTTATATTCCGTCCTAGTGTAGTCTATTTTCTTTCTTAAAAATAGGCATTAAATAAAGATCAAATTAAATCTAGAAATATTTTTAAAATTTTAAATAAAATTTTCTAACTATCCAAAGCAGGTCCAGTAACAGCCTCATGTGCAAGAGTCAAAATATTTAAATCCAGAACATAAAGTCTATTTACTGCAGCAATAACTAACTTTAAAAAATTTAAAAATTAATTTAATTTATCCATTCTCTTTTTTTTATTTACCCATTCCCCATTTATTTTTCCATTATTTAAATATTTAGGTAATCTTAACCAATCATTTATTTGTCCAATACTCACAAAAGAAGCTAATGTTTTATGTTTAATATTTTGTATATTATTACAATTAACTGATAAAATTAAAATAAGAAATGAATAAAATTTTGTATTTATTTTGTTGTTGTTATTTAACATTTAATTAATTAAAAATAAATTAAAATTAGGTTAAATTATATTGTTGTTAACATTTATTTTTAATTTAATATGCTAATAAATTAAATTCTAAAAAAATTATTACAATTAATCGAATTTTAAATTTAAAAAATCAACGGAAAATGTGAGAAAAAAGTTAACTTAAAATTAGATTTATTTATTTAAAACTTAAAAAATTAAAAAAATATTTAGAATTTTAAAGGAGGATATTTATTAAAATTTTGAAGAGAATAAAAATTAGAGAAAGGAATGATTGTAATTATTGATAAAATATAATGATGGAGATTTTGTTGATTGACAAAAATATTATAAGAAAGTTTTTCTGAATGATATGACAAGTGAATGGCAAATTATTATTACAACACAAAAATAAAACAAGTCATTATAATGCCCTTGTCTTCATGAAGGAATTAAATAAAAATATTATAGAGAAAGTATTTGGGGGATGGGGGAGGGTCAATTAGAAATTGAAGAGATGAGATTATCCTCTTCTTCTTCTTCTTCACAACAACCACTGAAAATATATTTTTTTAATGCGTAAAGATATAAAATGGGGGGGGGGGGGAGGAGCTTATTATTATTTTAGATGGGGATTGTTTACTGCGAGGTAAATATAAAAATATATTTATTTATTTTTTACATTTGAATGGATTTTAGAGGAGGAGGTTATTGAGGAGGTTATTTGATGATTCGATAAAAAGTATTTTAATAATTCAATGATTTTGCGTAATAGTAAGTAGTCGTCCTGGTCACTCATTCCGCCAAAATCAGATATAAAATCGGCATGAAAATTATGAGAAGACTTTCTAAACCAAAAAAGGAATTATACATTAAAAAACACTTTTTTAATTAAAAATACCATATATAAATTAAATAAATAAATTTATTTATTAAGCAAAATTTTCGCAAAACTCGCAGCTGGAATTTATTAAAATATTTTTCTGAGAGTGTTTATGTGAATTTCCTCCCGCATTTCTTCTTTTTCTTCCCTCTCATTTTATTTCTCACCTATTCAATTAAACTTTAATATAAAATAAAAAAAGAAACAAAAATCCAGACATTTTTATTTTTTGTTTTTAATTTATAAAAAAATATTTTCCAAGCAAATAAACGCTAAAACTGGGGCAAAACAATGCGCGAAGATTTTAATTTTATTCTTTTTTTTACACAAATAAATACAAATCCTCATTAGGAAATTTAAAAAATGTAGAAAAAATTAGGAATTTTATAGAGCAGATCCATCAGAATTTTAAACAAACTTTGAGAATATTTTTACAATATTGCTTAAACATTTGAGGATACAAAAAATTATTAAATAAAAGGAATTATATGGAAATTTAATAAGAAATAACCGAAGATATGTGAATATGGAAGAAAATTTTAGAGATTGGATTAGAAATATTTGTAGAAACCTCATATGTTGTGATATGGAATTTAGAAAGTCGAAGAAAGAAAATATTTAAAGGAAAAATGAGCCTTGTTCCATTTAGGACAAGATGGGATTTTTACTAGGTATCGATTTAACAAAATAAATTTTTTTGAATCAGGTACCATATTAAATGAGTATAGGTAAAAATACTTAAATATTTTCTAAATAAGTGCTAAAAAAATTATTGGACAATAAAAATTTCTAATTAAATAAAAGTATAAACATAATTAAATAAAAAGATAAACTTTATTTTAGTACACAATTAAAAATAAAAAGAAAACGCAATGAAGCAAATCTCTGAAAAGATTTCGCGCGCGTGTTTGTGTTTTGCAGCTGTTGCACATCACTGATCATTAAAAACTTTTTGTCGGCATTTTCTCTCTTTTTTATTTCTTTTGTTATTCTAAACTTGTCCACATAAACTCCCCCCCCCCTTCCTTTTTTTTATTTAAAAATCAAAACCTTAACCAAATCAAAAAAGAATATAAAATTGTAAAATAGAAGAAACAAATCTAATCAAAATTCCCATACAAAATTTTAAATTGAGCCAGCAAAATCTTTTTTATACAAAATTACTTAATCTTTGATTTCTCTCAAATGGACCATTAAATAAATAAATAAAAATAAATGAGAAAATAAATTCAAAAAAGAATTTGAAATTTAAATAGGAAAATGAATGAATTTCCTGCAGGGAAGAAGGGATTTGATGGGAAATCAGACTAGCTGAACTAAACTTAAGTTAAAAATTAGATAAAACTTATCACAAGTAAAAACGAAGAAAGAAGGGTTATTCAATTGGGACAAGTTAATTAATTATTAGGCAAATGAATTTATAGCGATAAAGCTTATAATAGATATTGTGGAATAACTATTCTAATGCACACCCTGACTAAATCTAATCTAATAAATTTTCTTAAGTTTTATAAATTATTTTTTTAATATTTAAATTTATTTGTTTATTTCTTTTTTGCTCCATTTCCCTATATTTTCTCAGTTCCAAATTTCTTTTACCCCCAATTAGACTACTTTGTGCCAATGTGCTTTTCATGGCTTTTCTTATCCTTTTATGCAAAAGCAGGTTTTCCTTTTTTAACCTTCTCCTTGTGTGTAAGAATGGCCTGAGCTTTAGTGTAATACCCATAGCTATATATATTCGGAGTACTAGTGTCGCTTTCCATTAATTCCCATTGTGCCACAAAACGAAAAAAGTATATACATATAATACAATTAAACATAGAATGGAAATAAGCAACCGACTGGAAAGTATTCAATTTTAGTTGTAAAGCTTAAACAAAAATAAATAAAATAAAAAGCAAAAAGTATTTGAAAAATAGGGGAAAATAAAAGAAATAAACAAATAAATCGTGTATTAATATTAAATTTGATTTTATTAAATATTCTCCTTTAAATTATTTTAAAAGAATCATAAAGTAATTTTAATTGATAGAGTAAATATAGGTACTTATTTTTTTATTTTCTTATTCGCATAATCTGATAATTAAATTAATGAGAGTTCAATAATGGCTTTCTGATCTATTTAAATTAAAATAATTTTTGAGGCATTTATTCTATAATAATCCCAAAATATGTATATGAAGATATCAGAAAGTTAGCTTACCTAATTTAAATTTATTTTTATTAAAATTTAATAATTTTACCACTTTTATAAAAAATATAGTTCAAGTTAAAAATCAAAAATGCTTCTTAAAAACACGGAAAATGCGCGCGCATCATAATTCACCTATTTCTCATTGTCAAAAGCATATATATTTAATATATATAATCGCCTAGAAGGTGCTCCTTTCAAAAAATTTGGCCTTGGAAAGGACACTTTTCTAAGTGTTACAAACTTTTTGAGCCGTGGATAATCGTTTTTGTTAGAAGGAAGGAAGAGGAAAGAAAAATGATTGTTACTTGGTGGTCAGAAATACATAAAGTTTTTGAATGGAGGCAAACAAAAAAATTAAAATAAAAAAAAAGTAAAGAATTAATGGTTGAACAAGAAAAATTGTGTTTTTGGTTTGATGGATGTAAAATAAATGAATATAAAAATTATGGAGAAAAAAAAAGAAAAAAATGTTCATTGTAGAGGGAGAGGTGACCGGTGGATGACCTAAACATATAAAAATTAAAAGTGCCAATTTGTTGTTCCTGAAAATAATAGAAGGGGAATGGAAGGGTTTTAAACGAGAAAAATGGGGAGAAAAAATTACTGTTTGGATTTGATTATTTAGGGAAGAAATTTAAAAATTAAAACTAAGGGAAAATAATTTTTAAATTTTTTAAAATAATTTTAAAAATATTAGAGTTATTTCATTAAAGTTGAGTACTGAAAAGCATAAATTTGGCGAAGGAAATATATTTTTTAAAAAGTACAAAAAATGTAAAAAACAAAAGGATAAAATAGCCACTAAATTATAACTATTTTTCAATATTTAAGGTAAAAATAGTCGTAAAGTCCCAGTAATGTCCAATAATTTAAAAATATTTAATATATTTTAGCATAAATAATGGAAAGGAATACACGAGCCAAGAAAATGAAGAAAATGGGGGCGGTGTTAGAAAGGAGGGGAGGAAGTAGTGGTGGGGGAATGACCACTTCTTTCTTGAAGAAAAAGAAATGTAGAGGAAGAAGGAATTCACACAAAATGGGTGGAGTTTTAAATAAATTAAATAAATAAATATATTTAGAAAGCTCTCAGATAAAAAAATCTGATATTTTAAAATTTTAAAAATATTTTTTAATTTAAAATTAAATTGATATTTTTTACATTTAAATAAAAAATAATATTTAAATATTTAAAAATCCAAAAAATACTAATATTTTCTTGTTTTAAAATACTTCCTTTTGTCCATCATTTGTTCTTGTTTGCATTCTCATTTTTTAGTAATCCGATCCCAATTTTAGTTACATACTTTCTATTTAAATTTTCTCAACTCCTTTTTTCTAAAAAAACAATCCCAAAAAGGCAATTTCCTGGTTATTTTTAGTTTCCTTTCAGATTTTTTCCTCTCTTGAATACTTAAGTGCCAACAATTGTTTTTGGTTGCAATATATATTTTGGGAAAAATATGTACAAAAATAATATAAATATTTACTTTAAGGGATTTCTATATGTATCGCAACCTAAAATTAATTTATTAAAAAGTAGTTAGTGATCAGATTTTGTTTAGAAAAATTGGAAGATAATAGAGAGAATTTTGTCGAGATTGGAATAAACAGGGGACGGATTTATGTGATTTTTGTTGATACTCTTGTACATAAATTCGAAATTAGTAGACAATATATATTTTTAATCCAATATTTTTAAGGATTTATTCTAATAAATTTTCTTTATTCACGTTAAAAACAATATATGTATAATCAAGTAATTTGCAGGTTGCGGCGATTATTTTTATAAAATAAAATTATTGGAGTGAAGAACCTTTTTAAGGTAAAAATTATGGAGAAATTACTCTTTGAAAGAAAAATAAAAGAAAATGAGATTTTATAAAGAAAAGCACGTAGTGGAGGGAGGTAATTGGCCCTTTACTTGAAATGAAATAATGGAAATAAATAAATTAATGGAAAAAATAAAAAAGTGAAAGAAAATAATCAAAAAAATAATTTATTTAAATTGTGAAGAATTGGGAGGTGATAAATGAGAAATTAATAGTAGTCGACAGAGGGATCAGTTCAGAATCTATGGAATTAAGATAGAAAAATAATTTAGTTAAGAAAATATATTTTTCCAATAAAAGTTAGACTGAATTTATTTGAGGACTAAAATATTCCCCTTTAAAATATGTACATATTTCCTTTTGGAAATATGTAGAATAAAAACTGTAAAAAGTTAGTTATATGTATATCCAGAAATGAATAAGGAAATACTTGTAATAACAAAAATGATACTTTAAATGATTGAGTACCATTAGAAATAAACATCTGCCCTCAATCTAGAAATTTATTTTATAAAAATACATATAAATATGTCTAGATATGTAGTAATATTAAGTTTTTAACAAGCTTTTAAACATACTATTTTTTACTAAAAATTACCTACCTACATATTTTATCTCAAATTAAAATCAAAAATTATTAAACATTCTATTTGAAATAAGAAGTTCTCAAACCTTAAAAACTCTTAATAAAATATTTTATTTTGAGTAATATTAAGTTTAAAAAGTAGATGTACAATTTCTATTTACAAGCAAACAAGGTGAAAAAAATGTTGATAACGGCCTCTGGGGAAACAAGCAATAAAATTGGATGTAGAGGAAATGGAAGGAATTGAAAGAAAGTGGAGGAAAGTGATCCAAAAGTGTGTAGATAAATATGTAGAGAATTATTTGTTTTGTCTTGATAATTGGCTTTTTTTGTTAATAAATTTAATTATATAATTAATTATTAAACAATTTTTAAAATTAATTTCATGTTTAATTTTAAAATTTTCACAAACTCGGCCAAAAATAAGTCCAGAACTGAATTAATTTCCAAGTAAAAATTTATCTCTTCCCTTAAAGTATTTTTTGAATTCATTGAGAATTTCCTTTTCATAAAGATTATTTTTTTTGTTCATTGTTTTCCCTAAATGTTCATACATAAAATTTTAGTGTTTATCTCTTTTATTTCCATTAGGGTGTAAATATTCATTGAAGTCTTTAATTGGATTAATGTTGCCGCCGATCGAAGGCCTAAACTTGCGAGAACATAAAAGAGAGAAAGAATTGTTTTGCACAAAATTGACTTGTTATCCAATGAAGAAAAAGAGAGGGGGGGTGGTAGATAATCCAATATATATGTACTTATTTATCCTTATTTAAAAAAAGGAATGAATGGTCAAAACAAATAAATTAAAAGGAGATGAATATTTTAAAAGGAGAATATTAAAAGGTGTAAATAGTAGAGGTCTGACTTTTTAAAAATAATGGCCATTAATGGAATAACAACTTTGCCGCTATATCCAGGAGGCGTTATATCCAAAGTCAATTATTTTATTTTTAAAGAACGGTATATCCAAATAATCGTCAGGGCAGTTCGATAAACAGTCAAAACTCAAATTTAGGAAATCAAAAACCCCCAAGTTTTGCTTAATCCTCCAAAAATATATTAAAATCAAAATTTCGCGCAACATCAAAAAGAAAATATTAAAAATTGTAAATTCCTCAATTATTTTTATTCAATAAAATCCTGAAAGAAAAAGTACTGAGAAGGACATGCAGATGGGTAAGTCAAGAGGTTCTATACTTTTGTCGGAAGAATTTAAAGACAAATGGGGAAAAGTGTGTGGACAGTTTGTTGGCCTTATTTTTCTAAAAATTGGGCTAATCTTCCACTTTTCCTCCATTAACATTATTTAAAGGGCCATAAACGGCGTCGGCAATGAATTGGACAATAAAAGGAAAAATAACGGAAGATAAAGAGGCGGAAAAATACAAAAATAAAAGAAGAGCGGGTACTTGACGCGGGAATTGGAATAAAAGTAAGGAGACATTAAATTGAGGTTATTATTGTGGAACAATAAAAATAAGAAAATATATACATAATTTAATTTTTATATTTATTTAATAAATTTAATTGTTTTGATAAAATAATTAAAGAAAGTTTTAAGCAAATCATTCCAAAAAAATTTGATTAAAGCTTTTCTTAATCGCTTGTTCCTCCTCCAAAAGGTTTAGGCTTTATTTGAACATTTCGGCGCGAACAATTTGACGCCGCCTATTCTTGCTGTAACTTTTATCCGCGTTTTTATTAATGGATATTTGGAATTTATTTCTATTATGGAATAAATAACGGGTTCGTTTAAAAGATAAAATTTTAATTGAATGGAATGAATATTGCTTTGTTGAGATACATATGTGAAATAAAATAAAAACTTCTTTTAAAAAGCCAACTTATACCAAAAATATATATGTAAGTGTGTAAAATAAATATTTTTACATATCAACAATCAAAAAATAACTAAAATATTGTACAATTTTTATTTTATAATAAAATTATTTGTTAATAAACATAAAACAGCGAAATTATTTATTTAAGTATTACTAATTTGTTGTTTGTAAAATAAATAATATTTTTAATAAAAAATTATTTTTTGTTTTTGCACCTGCGCTTGTCTTACAATTATTTTACTAAAAATATATGTAATGTTTGACGGTATTTTTATTTTTTAGAAAAATTATTTAGAGAAAAAATCAAGGTTTCCACAATAGGATTGTCGGTTCTCGACCGAACCGAACCGAAGAACAGAGGATTTTTCGGTTCGGTTCCGTATATCCGAAGATTTTCCAAGAACCGACAACCTTATTCCATAGTTTTTACAGATAAATTAATTAAATTTTTAGAAAATTAAAAATTTAAAAACAAACAACAAACGGAAGGAATATTTTCTATTTAAAAAAGAAAAATATTAAAGGAAAAGGTCAACAAGTTCGGCCAACAATTCCCACTGTATTGTTAAGTGCAAAGAAGTAATATTAAAGGTACTTAACAAGTACAGAAATAAAATTGGGAATAAAAAGAAAGTAAAAATGTTGGCCAAATAAATAAATACAAATTCTATTGTAATCCTCTAAGTAAACATTTAAATATAGAAGAAATATTCATTTAATATTAAATTAATTTTTATTAAATTTTTTTATTATTTAGGGTTCTCTCTAGTTATAATTTAAAAATTATTTTAATTTAAAAACAAGAGGAAATTTGAAAAAATATTTTTTTTCAAATAAATATTTTGAAAAACGCTTCATTTGCTTTTTTAGAAAATATAAAATGCAGGAAAAACAAAAATAAGCTAAAATAGCCAATTTCTTTCAGGTGAATGAATGGGGACTTAAAATAACTATAAATGATGGAATTTTAAAGTTTTGGAAAAAATCCATTAACAAAATTATTTTAAATTAAATATTCGATTGAAATTATAATTTTTGTCAAATTTTTAAGCCATCCTGTAATCCATAATTTCAATTTCTGTTTTTTATTAAAAAATTGTTTTGTTTATTTAAATTAACCTTTAAATAACCAAAAAAATTCTTTTACTTATTTAATGCATATTTTAGCCATTTTTTCTTTAATTTTCCTTTTTTATTAGAAAATAGTACATTTTTAGAGGTTTTTTTCTTTAATCCTTCAGAGTTGAATAATTCCTCCCCCCTCCCCCCCCCCTCCCTCCTTCACTCTCATTTTTTCTTCAAAATTTTAATAAAGCCAAAAAAGGATGAAATGGGCCAGTCGGGGAAAGAAAATGAAAGAAAAAAATTTATATGATGTGCCCACCGGCGGTTAAAAAAGGATGGACACCGATAGATGTTGGGGGAGAGAGGGATATTTAGATGGACGTTTGGCTAAAAAGAAAATTGGTATTGGCATGGAAAGAGAAATGAAATGAAAAAAACGTTGAATTTTTTAAATTAAAATTGAGAATTTAAATTTAAAATTAATTTTTAAAAATTTTTGGATTTAATGTACAATAAATTATTTTTTAATAAAGTTTTAAGCTTTATATGTAGGAGAGTTTGATATTTTTTAAATATTAAAAATAAAATAATTATCTCAAGTTTAAGTTAAAATTGTGTTAAAATTATTATAAAAATATGAAACAAAAATTAGAAATTTTTTAAACTTCCAAAAATGGATAATAAACTTTAAATTGAGACTAGTTAATAACAAAATAAAGACAAGTAAAAACATATTCTGAGCCAAATAAATATATAAAAGGACATAAATAGTTAAAAGAAATTTGTCGAAAAATTGAAACATAAAAGGAACTAGAAAAGCATTAAGACTGCCAGTTTGCTAGTTTGTGAAATTGGTTTCAATAAAATAAACAATTTTTGTTGTTGCTTTTATTTGTTTAAAAGTATTTATAAGAAATTGAAATATAAATAAATTAAATAAAACTGATAACTTAAAATTTTAGTCTTTAAAATAAATTTAGGAATCGAGATTATTTATAAAAAATATTATAACAATCCGTTTTAAATTTGTTAAAAAAATCGTTGACAAAATAAAAAAAAATAGTCAAAGAAATTTTGGAATCTTATAAGAAATATACTTAAAATTAATTGTCCTTATAGGAAAATATTTATTAAATTATTTAAAATCTAATTAATCTCAATTTCAATTTAATTCAAAATCTTTTCTTTCTCTATTAATTTTTCAAGGGAAAAATAAATTCATTTAGTAAATGACCACAAAATAAAAACTAAAAATCCTCCCAAAATCCCTTTATTTGTGTGGCATTATTTTTGCTATTCTTTCTCATTTTCTTCCAATTTCCTTTATTTCCCACACTTTTACTTTTGTCTTTATTTGGGGGTCGGCTGCCATAAGAGAATAAATAATTTTGTAAAATGTTTTTTTCTTCTTAATTGGCTACTATGCTTTTTGACCATTTACTCTTTTCTTGGCTCTATTTTCATTCTTTTCTACTTGACACTTTAAGTAATGGGGAATAAATGAGCTGGACAGAGTCAAATACTTAAAATAAATTGAAAATTAGAAGAAAGGATTTGAAAAAAAAATTAATTTTATTTTTTAAAGAAATTAATTTTTAAAATCAGAATGAATATCGGGATAATTTATCTCCTTACAATTGAAAATAAACAAAATTCATTTAGTAAATGACTGATAAAAATAGAGCCATAATTCCTTAAACGTTGGAAAAAAACTAAAATTTGAATGTAAGAACTGAAATATTTTTTAAAACTCTGACCGGTAAAATATTTTAGTTCAACCACAGATACTTTAATTATTTAACAAAAGAATTGTATTTTGTTCGGAATCGATCAGATTAGATATGTACATGTTCATAAGCTTGCGGATCCAAATCCGAAAAAAGGCCGGATATCGAAAATTTTCGGTTCGGATCCGGATATCTGAAAATTTCCAACTATCCGACAACCTTAATCACCAGATTAACAAAATTATTTTTAAATAAAAAGTAATTTTTGCAAAAACATTTTTACTAAATTCTCACGTATTTTTTGCGATTATTAATACTTTTTTTTTATTTTTAATAAATAAAAGTGACAATTTGTATGATGGCACTAAAAATATTATCCAAACTTTCAAAACAGATTTACTAAATTATTCTCCTTTTTTTCTTCAACAAAAATATTCTGTCAACTAAAACTACTTTATTTTTACTTTAGGTCACTTATTTATTTATTGGTTACACTAAATGGTTTCCATGACTTCAAAAAAGGATAAAAAATATTTAGAAAAATTTTTTTGAAAGAATTTAATTTTGAAAAATAATTTTCGTGTATTTAAAAAATATTTTTAAAATAATTATTTTCACTTTACTTATTTTAATATTAAAAAATAAATTTAATGGAAACAGAACAATTTCACGAAGAAATAAATGAAAATTTAATAGAAGAAAAAACAGAAGAAAATGAACAAAAAACAGAAGAAAATTTAGAAGAAAATGAAGGGGAAACAGAACAACAAGAACAACAAATAAGTGTTAAAATTTTGGTTTTGGGGCCTACAAAAGTGAGAAAATAATTTTTTTAATTTTTAATGAAGAAATTTAAAGAGTGGAAAAACATCAATTTCTAATTATTTGGCTGATTCACAAGATGCAGTGTCAAAGGATTATAGACCAACTCAAGGTGTTAGAATTGTAGAATTTGAGAGTAATCAACTTGAATTAGATGGAGAAAGAGTTAATGCTGAGGTAAGAAAATTAAATTTTATATTTTTTCACACAAAATTCGCCAAAAAATATTCGAAAGTCATAATCTTCTCTCCCTAAAATTTTAGTTTTTAAACAAATAAACTTTAATAAATATTTTTTCTTAAAAAAGGTTGAATTATGGGACTGTTCTGGTGACAGAAAATTTGAAAGTTGTTGGCCAGCAATTCGTTACCGTTGTGATGGGGTTATTTTTGTTTGTAATCCAGAAATTAATAAAGGAGAGGATTTATTAACATGGTTTTTAAATAACTCATTTTAATAATTCTAATTTAAAGGTACAACGAATTTGCTTTAAAAAATGGAATTCGATTAAGAAATTTATTTATCCTTCTTCACCATACAAGTGAACAAACTAATGATAGCGCACTTGCAGAATTTCATCTCCCAACAGAAATGGCTGGTATTAATATGATCCCCTCAAATATTGATAAAGAAGGGGATGAATTAAGATTAGCTTTTAATAATTTTCTTTGTGATATTATTGCTGATGTTTATGCAAATACTAAAAAATAATTTTTTAATAAAATTTATTTCTACTCTAAAAAGTTAAAGAAAATTAACAATCAAAACGATTTACTCGTTAATTTTTAAAACTAAAAAAGGCATGGGCAATAGAAAAATATAACAGAAATATGCTGCTCAGAATAAAATAAAATGAGAAAAAATATGTTAAAATTTCGAAATTTTTTGGTAAAAATTAAAAAAATAAATTTTTTAAAAATTTAAATTTCGAAATTAGAAAAGAAAAACAACCGAGAATAAAAAGAATAAAATAAAATTAAAAAGGAATTTTTAAGAAAAATTAATTTAGGGAAAGTTTTAGGTAGAAAAACAAATTTGGTTAAAAAGTTGAAGCAAAAATGTGGCTTTAGAAAAATGGCGAGAAAATAAAAAATAAATAAATTTTAAATAAATACTATAAAGATATAAATTAAAGAAAATTTTGGATATTTTTAAATAAAACTTCAGAAAATGGAAAGAAAATGAAAAGCTTTAAAAATTAAAAATAAATTGCTAAATTAATTTTGGTATAAAAAATGGTTTTGGATTTTAAATTAAGTTTCTTCTCTTAATTTAGTTACGAAAAAATATAACAGTTGCGGACGAAACTCAATAAAAATTTATTCAATGGCTTCCTCGATTTTTAGTAAATAATTCTGACAAAAAATGTTTCGCCCACAAATGCCATACCTTCTCTTTTTAAATTTCCTAATTTTTAATAAAAAAATCTCCTTATCAGTTAACTTGCCACATTAACTCCAGTTTCTGCCCGTTCATCTTCATCATCTGTAGTAACTAAACCAACTGCCTCAGCACCAAAATTTGGAATTTCAACTGAAAATAAATCTTTTGAAAGAATTTATTTTAACTTTTTACCAAAATTATTTGAACGACATCTAGCACTAAATTGTTTATTTAATGTATGATGGACTGCAGTTGTTAGAAGTTTGACTTTAGGGAATGCATAAGCTAATGAGTGAACACTTGCTTCTGTCATAAGTAAAGAAACAAACAAAATATCTTCTTCACGAACATCGTGGTCCAAAAGAATTCGAATAGCCATTATTGCGGCAGCGCCTAAAACAAAAAATTTAGAGATAGGATAGGTAGCAGGGATGGGCCGGGTTGAGAAAAAAGTCAGGTCGGGTTCGGATCGGGTACCGGGTCGACAAAAAGACTGGGGTTCGGGGAACCCGGCCCCTTCCTAATAGGTAGAGAGGAAAGAATGTTTAAACATTTCATTTTTAAGAAAATTACCAGTCAAAACAGTTGTGTCAATCAAAATAATTTTGTATTGATTCAATTTCTTTGGCAAACGCAAATAATAAAGTTCTGGATCCTGTGTTTGTTCATTTGTTTGAATTAAAAGGGTTCCAAATTTTCCAGTTAAAGACCGAAGAGATTTTTCTAATGAATCGCCAGTAACCATAATTGTAACTCCACAAACTTTTCCATTATATTTTTGGCCATTAACGTTGTTGTCATTGTCAGTATTTTGCCTTAAACAAATTTTTTTAGAAAATTAACTAAAATTTTTTGAAGGTTTTTTTCTTTGATTCACGAAGATTTTTTTGTTTCAAAACGCCTTTGGTTATATTGTGGTGGAAAGAGAACAGACAAGAGCAAAAAACTGTGACAACACCAAACCCAACGATGACTTGGTTATTTTTATTAATTTTCCTTTTTTGTCAAAGTATTTTAATTAATCCAAAACAGGGTTTGTAAAATATAATTTACATTCATTTTTTAAATTTTTAGTCTAAAATATTCCACTATTTTTCTATCAATTTAAAATTTTTATAAATTACATTTGCACAATTTCATGTTGACTACCACACAAACTCAATGCCTGTTCAATCTACAAAATATAATCTTTTTAATTAAAAAAATTAATTTAACAACCAATTCAGGAAGAATTAATTCTGCATGTTTCATCACTTCTTCCATTATATTTGTTTTTCCATTATCTTTCCAAGAGCGAAGGAAAGCCTGAAACTTTTTGGCACTAGAACAATTTCTTATTATATGAAGTGAAGAAGGTAATTTGACTGGAGGTTCAATACTAGAAGGGGATTCAGGAAGTGAAGGGGAAGAACCATTTCGAGTGTGTTGACAACCATAATAACCTTTTTAAATATTTTAAAAATAAAAAAATATTTTTTTCAAAAAATAACCTCGTTCAGTCAGTTGATTTTTAATATGCCGAACAATTAAATCAATCGCCACCAAATTCTCTCCTCCTCTCGGCACTATTATATCAGAATGTTTCATTGCTAAAAAAATTCCAAATTTAAATTAAAAACATAGAAAGAAATACATGGAGCAATGAAAGAATCAAATGCTGGTTTCACAAATTTGATATATTGATCCAAAACACCAGCAACGTCTCTTCCCTTAAAATAAATATTTATTTGTGCATTACTCTTTAAATAAAAAAATGTTAATATGCTGATAGTGAGTATTTTGAAGTTATAAATTTAAAAAATATACTGAACAACTCAAAAATAATTTTTATTAAAAATTAAATACCCTTTCGGAAATATCTCTTTGTAAACGACGGGCCAATCTAGTATCAGAATCAGTGTCAACAAATACCTAAAAATTTATAAAAATATTTTTCCTTCAAAAAAACCTTCATATCCATTAAATCAACAATTTCCGGTGTATGAAAAGAAAGAATTCCCTCAAAAATTAAAATGTCAGCGCCATACATTAATTTTGGATTTTTTGAACGTTTGTGTGTTGTAAAATCGTAGACGGGAACTTCAACTGAATTTAGGCAATTAAGATGTAAAATAAAAATTTGTAAATACCTGATTTGCCATCTCTTAAACGTAAAAGTGTTTCGTAAAGTAAATCAAAGTCAAAAGCATCTGAAAAAAATATTTAATTTTTATTTAGAAAAAGTTAAAAAGTAAGAAGAAAATTTCAAAAAATGAAAAGAAAAATAGAATAATAATTCTAACCAAATTAATACCAACAAGGAAAGGTTGCGAAATGTCCGACCTAAAAACGCTTCAGAGGGCCATATCTTGGCCAGATCAAAGACGGGCAAAAACGGCTCAAAATCATTGCTAGATTCTCTATCGAATGAGTCCGGACATTCTCTATCAAATGAGTCCGGTCTCGACCGTTTTTAGGTCGGACACCTCGCAACCTTTCCTTTTAAAAATTAAAATAATTTTAGTAAAACAATTTACTTGGATGGTCAAAATTATATTCTTGTTTATCAGCCAAATGGTGTTGTTCTTCATTCAAAACATTATAAAAAGAGTCCATAGCAAGTACAGTTACCTAAAAAAATAATTTTTTGAAGACTTTTAAATTTAAGAATTACCCAAGGCATTTCCAATCTCTCAATAATTTTTTGGGCGACAGTTGTTTTACCAGAAGCAGAGCCCCCACAAATTCCAATTAAATAAGACTTTTTTAGACGTTTTCCAGCTTTATTAAATAATGAAATTATTTAAATTTGTAAAAACTCAAACCTCTATCATACCAGGGAGGACGTCCTTTTGTATAAACTTTCTAAAAAAAATAAATTTTAAAATCAAAAAATCAAAAATTTACTCGTCCAGTCTCAGTCATAAAAACATCCTCTTCGTCAGCCTTCGAGTTTGAAATCGTTCTTGTACGTATTCTGCATCGATTAGAAGTTGGAATACTTTCTTTAGAAAATAAACAAAAATTAAATTTAAATACCATTTTAAACTTTGAAAATTTAAAGAAATTAAAATGTTAAATTAATTTTTTGTTTTTAATTTAATAAAAGGGACAAGTAAATGAATCACTCTCTCTGTTTGAAACTAAACAATCAATTTTTTATAAAAAAGACAAAAGATTATTTTTTAAAAACAAAAAAAAATTCAAAAACAACCTTCAATATATCCATCAACAATAACTTCGTCACTCGAACAGGAATCAGAATTATTATCTGTTGAAGTTAAATCTGAAGACATTTTAACGTTATTTGATGCAGTCTGTTGCTTCCAAGTCGGATTTATTGGAATTTTTGTGTCGCAACTATTTGGTGACTGCATCCTTTTTTTAAAGAATAAATCTAGAAAAAATAAATAATTTTTATAAAGATTAAACAATCAAAAATCAAAAAACAAAAGAATTAAGAAAAGGTAAAATTGACAATAAAATTTTGACAAAACAGGTTTCAGGGACACGCCCAAAACGGCGCGCGGCCATAACGGCGCAAAGGGGACACGCCCGACTAGTCGCGGGCCGACTAGTCGCGACCGACTAGTCGCGGCCGACTAGTCGCCGGCCAACTAGTCGCGCGGCCAACTAGTCGCCGGCCGATTAGTCGCCAAGTTTTTTAATTAAATACTCTGATTAGTAACCTGCAAAATTATTTTTCCGGGCCTGGAAACCGGATTTTGGGTAAAATTTCGGTATACGACACAGACGCCGATTAAGTCGAATGATATGTTATTCGAAAGAGCTCGTCGAGCTGATTCTAATGACGCCAAAATCAACGAAATCTGACTTGATTTGACACAGAAGGTTTTCGCGGAAAAAAGTTTTTGCCGCTGCGGAGGAAGCCGGGCATGTCGAGCGGAACGACGGCCGCCGCTTCGCTACGGTCGCCGCGAGCGAAGCGAGCACGACCGCAGCGAAGCACGGCCATCGTGTAGCGAAGACCATGCCCGGCCTACCCTCCGTAGCAGCACAAAAACAGTTTTTCCAGCGAAGATTCAGTTGGTCATCACTTTGTTCAGAATCATCCAATCGAGCTGATCTGATTAAAATACTATTAATCAGATAGTATTTTGAAGAATATTTAATTATAAAACTTGGCGACTAATCGGCCGGCGACTAGTTGGCCGCGCGACTAGTTGGCAGGCGACTAGTCGGCCGCGACTAGTCGGTCGCGACTAGTCGGCCCGCGACTAGTTGGGCTGTACCCGGCGCAAAGCCATAACTTACTTCAAGATTTCCGAATATTATCAAATTTAGTATAAAACGAATCCTCTCATCGAGCTAAAGAGATTGGTAACAAAATTGCTAAGGGCCAGAAATTTTACAGCAAGTTATGGCTTTGCGCCGTTAAGGCCGGCGCCGATTTGGGCGTGCCCTCAATTAAAGTTTTGCCATTAGAGTCTGAAAAATAACAATAGATTGGAGTTTGTGTTAGTTTAGAGAAGGGGACTTTAAAGAAAGGAAAAAACAATTAAATAATTTATTATTTATTTGCCAAATAAACTTGTTAAACTTTTTTTTTCTTTTCTTAAAAAATAATTATAAATAAATAGCTAATATTATTGTTTTTTTTGTTAACTTTGACGTTGTTTATTCGAGAAAAAGATCTTTGAAATAAGGTAAATATTTATTAAAAGAAAAAATATTGCCATTCTGATTTGTGTTATTAATCTTTTAAAAAAATCAAAAATTTAACTGGAACATTAAATTTCAGGTTTTTAACCTTAAAAAACCTTTCATTTAAAAAAATTAATATTTAACTGATAAATAAATGAGAAAATTTTTTAATTGCTTTGCTCATCAAGGAAAGCCATATTAAATATACAAAATTGTTAGAACAAAGAGAAAAACTATCAATCTAATTGCGTGCTCATTAAAAAAAGGGAATGTTGACAGTCTGTCAATTGCCTTTCTTTGGTGGTAGGACAAATTACCGAAAGGATATTTAACAGACAATTTATTGACTTTATTTGAGTAATTCATTCAGTTGTTAAAATTTATGTTAATTGATAACCCTTTTTAATAAATAATTGTTGATTTTCTCGAGTGAACCCTCAACAGGATTCATACTTTTGTTGAACTATTAAATCTGAAAATTGTCCTTTCAGTGAATTGTCCCTCTTTATTTTCTTCCCTTCCCTCTACGTTTCGTCTGACACATCCCTCGTAATTTCTCTATTTATTTTTACTACTATTTTACTTTATAAATGTGACTTTTCCTGTTCCTATCTACAAATATCAAAAACAAAATAGTATGGGGGTGCTGGGGAATTGTTAGCATATAATTCCTAATCATTTTCTGATCAAAGTACTTTTTCTATTTTATTTACAAAACCATTTTTGGAGATTCTTATCAAAAACAAAAAATTTATAAAAATATTTTTTTAATTTTTTATTCACTGGACTTTGGTTACTCAACCAATAATAAAAATTATTTTTGGGGGAGCGGCATTTCTAATTGTTTTTTTCTCTTAACAAAGTGTTTGAAACATTTTTCTTTAATTTATTTAAAATTATTATCTGTCAATATTTTAATTACTTGTAATAATTTAACCTTTTTTTAACTTGTAAACGAGACAAAAAATATTTATTTATTAATGTATTTTTTCCCCTTTAATAATTCACTCTTAATTATACGAATAATTATTAAATAATTTTATTTTTATTTTTAATAAAATACTTGTAGCAATTTATAAGACAAAAAATCTTTCGGGAGCAGGCCAGTGCACCGTCGAGCTACAACTTCGTCCAAAATTATCGAATCCGTGGCGCCCTTGTATTGTTCGATTCAGCTGGTCGAGCCGCATCGAACTATACCAGGACGCCGCGGATTCGACAATTTTGAACAAAGTTATAGCTCGGCGGTACATTAGAGTGTACCCAAATCTTTCTAATCTTCCATACCTTAAATATAAATTTTGGGTTAAACTAAAATATATACCTAAATTCTTTTTTCTCTCAATCTATTAAATCTTTCCAATTCACAATTAACTTATATTAGACAATAATTTAATTTTGATCAATTTAAAGAACGACTAACGTTCATTATTTTTAAATTTATCATTTTGTTGTCATAATTTTTTAAATCCAAAATAAAAATTTAATTTTTTGTTTATTTTCCTCAAAATATAAATTTTATTACAAAAATATTTATTTAAATATTTTTTTTTAAAAACTTCTCCCCACATTTATTAATTTGTCTAAATATCAGTGATTTCTCTATAATTTTTATTTTTAATGTTTTGATATTCCTCACATAATACCATTTGGAATAGCTATAAAATTAATAAAAATTTGTTGTTTTTTCTGTAATTTTTATTTCTTAAAAATTTTAAATAAATTTTTGTTTATTTAAATAGTTTTATTTATTTTGTTAAACATACTTAAACATCAATATTTAAGAACAATTTTAATTATTATATTTTTGTTAAATTAAAATAAATTTATTTTTCCAACAAAATTATATTATAAAGCTTTTTTTTTGTACCAAAAAACCATTTAAATATTAAAATTTAATTCACACTTTTCCCTACACAAAATTAGCTTTTCATTAAATTTCTTAAAAGTAATTAAATATTAAATTTGTCACTAATTTAAACCTTATGTTTTATAGACAATTCCCTGAAAGTAAAGAATTTTTTTGAATTTAATACAAAATTTTTTTTCCATTAATTTCTCTTTTCTTAATATTCTTTTTAAACTTTTTTTTTTCAAAATTTTATATTTAAAAATTTCCTTGTCTATTTTAGAAATTTTAATTTTTTTTTAAATATTTGTATTTAATACAAAATTTTTATTTAAAATACAATATTTATTTTTGAAATAAAAATTCTTTCTAAAAGAAGCTTTTCCTAATTTTCTTTAAAAAAATTATTTTTGAAAAATAAAAGAAAATATTTTATATTTTTAATTTTCATTCTTTAATTAATTCTGTCACATGGATATGTATATGTTTTTATATAAATTTTAAGCAAAAAATTCTGCAAAAATTTAATTTTTTTTTATTTTTCCTGCGCATGTGAGCTACTAACATACATTTAAATATATTTATTAAATGCCATTTAGGAAGATCTTTAATAGAAACCTGAAATTTTTCTCTTTCTTTCAAATTCTCTATCAAAAAATATTTCTGTCACCTACCACTTACTAAATAACATTTTTGGCTTTATTTTTTCTTCCAAATTACAAAAACTTTCTAAAAAATTTTAACTAATATATTTAAATGGTTGTCTTGACTACCTTTTTTTTAATTGATTTGTGTTAAGTGGTTCTTTCATTAATTTTAGAGCACACACACTTAAAAGCAAAATCTGTAAGGATTAAATACAAAAATAAATCATTTAATGGATATTGTAAACAGGAAAAGAGAAAGGGGGGGATTAATTTGTTTTTAATTTATCTATATTTTAATGTTTTAATTTATTTTAAGATTTTGAGTGACGATTTTGTGTTGAAATCGTCATTAAAACTTTTCTCAATCTTTGAAGGTTTATTTTGAGGAAGAGGTGGATTTAAATGCTTAAAAATTATTTTTTAATTATTATTAAGTTTTGTAAAATACTGGGAGGATATGTAGCAGAATGTGCCAGTTTCGCCTTTCGCGGATTTTGGATTTTCTCGTTTCGCACATTCTCGTTTTGCGTATTTAAAATATGTTTCGGCACACCCCTGATATGTAGATAGATATGTTGACAGAATTCCTTGTTTATGTCCCAACTCTCTGTACCTGGATAAATTAATTCAGCCTCCGGAAATTAACAATTAATAATGACGTGTTTATTAAACGAGAATTTAATGGGAAATTTAAAAAAGTTGGGGAATAAAATACAGATTTTTTTTGCTTTTTTAAACAGTTAAGGGACAAATGCAATAAATCTTAAAGCAATTATTTGGGTAATTTATAAAAATAAAAAGCGCAAAATTAGGAATTACAAATTTATTCCCCACCATTACACGCTTTGCAAGGTAAAATGCAAGAAATTGAAAAAAAATATTTTTTAAGTGATTGATCGACATTAAATAAATAAAGGGAGAGAATGAAAATTAGTTTTTGGAGTTGTTCACAATTTTATCAATAAATTTTTATATAAAATTATTTAATGAATAAGAGGTAAGAATTAACAAATTTATGTTTTTTTTAATTTAAATATGTATTTTGATTTAAGGCTTCTATTAGAAAAATAAAAAATAACTAGTGCGAATTAAAAATATTAGCATAATAATGGAGTTAGGTAAAGTTATGAAATTTAAGGGAAGAAACAAATAGAATTTTAAATTTTGTGCAAAATCTCAATTCGCAAAATTCTAGGTAAATAAATAGATATATGCAAAATTTTTATTTATCTAAGGCTTTGTCATGCCATTAGAATATCGCGTTCTTACAACACAATACCGAATTATATGTTCATTTCCCTCATTTGTACCTCGAAGCCCTTCATAGTTTTTTCATATCTTTGCTTTAATTTGATATTTAAAAAATAATCTTTTGGATAACTGAAATATCCTCCCCTCTATCCCTTCAATACTTAAAACCTTCAGTTTAAAGCCTTTCAATTATTTTTTTTGTGATTTTTGATATTTTAATTTCTAGACATTAATAATCCTTTTTAGATCTTTGAATATGTTTAAATATTTTTTTTGTGATCTTTATTAAATAAAAACATTTAGATAAATATTCTTTCTATCATATCTCCCCCGCATTTTAAAATACAAATTCCTTCTTATTTAATTATTAATATTTTGCGCACTTTTATTCCATCCATTAAATTAAGTTAAAAGCGTGTTTGCTCATAAATACTAATGCCTTTCATAAACATCGACTTTGCTTTCATTCTAGTAATAAATAGTTAGAAATTTATTTTTTGAGTCCATTAACAGTATATTAAATATTAATTTTTTAATAAAAAATATTTTTTTATTCATCCCTAAATTTTATATATGTATTATTTAATACATATTTTAAATACTAGATCTATTATTTAATTAAAAAGCTATCTTATGGGCCTTCCTACATATAATGGGCCCTTCCTCCTATTTCAGAGCCACTTCTGATTTCTTCTATTTAACTTACCTGTAAATTTGTTGTTCGTAACATATATAGAGCAGGGCAGGGCAAATTTCGCATTTCGCTTTTTATTTTTAGATTTTGCCCAACCCTGATATAGAGTATTTAATAAAGAAATTTATTATATTTATTTATAAATGGAAGGTCCAACTGTTTAAATTTTGACGCAATCTTTGAGCATAAATTATAATTTTTAATTATTATTTAATTCTCTTTTAATTTTTTCTCCAAGATTTTCAATTTAAAAACCAGCAATGTGCGCAGGAGATATTTGTTTAAGCCCTAAAAGGCAACGGCCCTATTCTCCTAAAAATGAGGAAAATAAGGGAACAACAACAACAACACCAAACTGTGGTGGTTGTTGTATTCAAAATAATAATGTTGGGCAATGTCTTAATGTTGCAACAAAACAACTTCCACCTAAACCTTTATTAGAACCGTTAACTCCTTTCCAAATTAGTTCAATACCATCATTAGCCATGATTTCTTTAACTATACCTACAAATTATGAAAAAGGAATTGATGGATTTTTATTTAACACTAAAGGAGATGGAGGGTTTTTGACAACTTTTGAATGCAGTCATGAATTGGACAAAAATTCGCTTCAGGCGTTGAATCATGATGAGTAAGTAGGGAATTTTTAATTATTTTTTTAACGTTATGAAAGGTTGATTAAAACAGAATTACCTTTATTACTTTGAATATTTACTCCTCTCGATTAATTACCTCCTCAACAAGAGGCCGGAGAAATAATTACCCATGGTAATAATTACTCAAGAAAAAACGGTAATATAGAAGCTGCCCAAAGGTAATTTTAATATACCTTATATTGGAGTTTATTCCGGGAATTCTGATACTTTTTTAGGTTTTCTTTAAAATCTCCAAATTTAAGTGATGAGGATCAAGTCCATCATGTAACCAATGCTTTTTTAACCAAACAAAAACAGCAAAAACAAGAACTTCTTAAAGGAAAATCTATTTCAGAGCCTTGTGCAGTTTGTGGAGATATAGCTTCCGGAATTCATTTTTCAGTTGGAAAAAAAAATTATTTTAAATAGAAAGATATTTTTTAAAGGTTTGGACATGTAATGGTTGTAAAACTTTTTTTCGTCGTGTTGTTGTTGAGGTAAAATGATAACGAATATCTTTTTAAAAAGATTCTTTCCAGAACCGGACCTATTCATGTAATCGTAGTGGAAACTGTCCAATAGACAAAGATCATCGTTGTTCATGTAAATTCTATAATTAATCTAAAATATTTTTTTATTAATTTATTCAGGCCGTTCTTGCCGTTTCAAAAAATGTCTCAAAGTTGGAATGAATTCTGCAGGTAAATAAATAATCCCTTTTTTAGTCAAAATATTTTAATTTCCCAGAATTAAACATTGAACGTCGCAGAAAGCGTAAAATTGCAGAAATTAGTTCTCCACAATTTATTGTTGAAAAAATCACCGATCCGCTGGTTTGTTCAAGAATATTGTATTTACTGAATAAATTTAAAGATAAAAGAATTAATGAAAAGGGAAAGACAATTTACAACTTTATTAACATCTACAACTACACCAATCCATCCAACTATTGAGGATGCTCTTAAAATGCCCAGCAGTTTCCAGCAATTTGATTTTCATAAACAGAATCAAATGAAGACAGGTAAAATAAATGGAGATTAAGAACAGTTATTTCGAAACACTGAAATTGGGTACTCCTCAATTTAAAATGTTTCCTTAAAAGTTTAAATTAACTATGAGTGGCTAAAGCGGCTTAAACAATACCCACAATCTAAGGCTTTCTAGCCCTGAGGGGATATTTAAAAGATAAAAATGTTTTAATTATTTTAGAGGGGCTGCCCTCAGTTTAAAAATATTTTAATTTCTTTTTAATAATTAAAGAAGATCAAATGAATTTTTCTTACTGGCGGTCCAAAATTCTTTCGACAACAATTGAGTGGGCAAAATCTTTCGATGAATTTTCTGAATTAAAATATGAAGATAGAGCAGCATTAATTGTCCACTCCTGTTTTTCTATTCTCGTATTTTCTGAAGCTTTTCATACTTCTGAACGTTATACTGACAGAATTGTTTTTCCAGGAGGCCTTTCCGGGTTTAGGAATTTAAGTGCAAACATTATTAAAGAAAAGAGTGGATTAATTCCTACAGTTGTTGCTGTTATTAATCAAATTTTGGTGAATTTTTAAATGCTTTTTTCTTATCTAAGAGGATCCTTTTAATTTTTAATAATCAGGGTTGTTAAAAAAATTTTTTTGCTAAGGATACTAAATATACGGTGCTGCATAAAAGTATAAGCACAATTGGAAAAATGGTACAACTCGGGATTGAGCTATCTGAATATTATCGAATTCTGCTAAAAATATTATAGTATACTTTTGTGTAGCACTGTATTAAGGGTATTTTGATAATTTGGATTCCTAATTGTTTCTACGTTAATCTCCTTATTATCATTTACCGATTGTCGGTAAGGAACGTTAATTGTGAAATTCACTTTACAAGCTAAGCCTCTGTCACTACATAGAATCCAACCCTTATATTTTTTTCGGTTTAAGGGAATAAATATTTTGGCGTATAATCTATTTATAACACAAATCATTTTTAAATAAATTATTTTCTGAGTTAATTTTTGTTTGATTTTTAGGTTCCGATTCGTCGTATGAAAATGACAGAAATTGAATATGTTCTTTTGTGTGCAATAATTTTTTTTGATCCAGGCAATTAATTTATATTTATTTGAAAAAAAAATTAATTTTTAAAGAGTGCTTAACTCTAAGTAAAAATGCAACAAAAATAGTTAATTCAAAAAGAGAAGCATTATTAGCTGCTTTACAAAAACATTTGGATGAACAAATGCCTAATAAAATTGAGGCTTCTATTCGAATGGCTGAACTTATTTTAAGAATATCGAATGTTCATGTAAAATTAATTAATTAAAAATAATTTAAATTTAAAATTTGTTATAGAAAGTTGCTGCATTTAAACGAGAAACTTTATGTACAATTGAGACTTTTAATTTAATGTCTCCACATCCGTAAGTTTTTTTAAAAGGAAAAATAAATAACTAAATTAATATTTTTTGTTATTGAATATATTAAATGGGGGGCCTTTTAATTATTTTTTTTATTTAATAGTACAAATAAGGAATTTTAGTTATAATTTTAAAGGAACCTATTTTTTCCTTATAATTAATTATTTAATAATTTCTAGATTAACTATGGAACTTTCCAAAAAATATGCTGAAATTTCTTTCTTTTAGTAGTAGAAGATTTAAAAAAATAAAATTAATTTAAAAAATTATTTTTTATATATTTTTTTAATTTAAAACAAAACTTCTTTTTAATTTAATCCCATGACTTGTCTTTTTATTTTCCAATTTTATTTGTTTCTAAAATAAAAAAATGAACATTTCTACAATAAATTATTGTTGTTTGAATTAAAAAAATTTAATTCAAATTTTTTAATTTTTTTTTGTGATTTACATTTATATCCTTAAAATAATTAAAAAAAAATTTTTAACATCTCTTCGATGAGGACAACTCTTTAAATATTTAATTCGTTGTTAAGAGTGTTCGAATCGAAATATAAATATCCCTAATTTAGACTTCATTTTCACAAAATTTCCCAAAAATATTTTTCTAATTGCCAGTCTACTTTTGTGATTTTTCTCTTTTTCTGATCTAAAATCACTATTTAATTAACTTAAATGTTTGCAAATTGTTTTTTAATTTTTACTTCAAAAGTAACTCGTTAACTAAACATATCTTTAATTAATTACTTAAAAATAGTACAAATCTTCACATATATTTTAAAAGAATTTTATTTGTAATTAAAGCTAGAACTCAATATGGAGAATTTCTTTAGTTTTTATATGCCTCTTTTTATTGAGATTTAGCTTTGTTTATTAAAATATATATTTTTAAATATTTTGTTTGATAAATATTTTTGGCGATTGAATTTGTTGTTTTTTTTTTAAATTATTAAAAAAATATAAAAAAATAATTTATTATTGACCATAAAAATTTTTATTAAAAACGTGGAAATTCTAAATTAAAAATAAAAAAAATATTAAAGAAAATTTTTAAAAATAAATAAGGAAAATTTTTATTCTTTTTTTTATTTTTTTCGGGTTTTAGCTGTAGAAATAAATACGTTTAAATTTTTAATGAATTATTCATTTTTTATCAATATTAAAAAAATAAAGAATTTTAATGGACTTTATTTAATTTTAAATATTTTTTTGAAAATTTATTTTTATAAAAGATATATTAATTTAAAATATTTAAAAAATTAATTTAATTTTTAAATAAAAGATGAATGTCAAAATAAAAAGAAGAAATGAAAAGCATAATCAAATTGTTAATAATTATAATTTATTTGAAATTGTTGGTAAAAATAGAAGAGATAAGGTAAAAATAAATAAATATTTTTTGTAATTAAATAATTATTTTTAAGGAGAAAAATGCTTTCTCAATTTTAGCTAATTTATTGCCTTTATCACCACCTATTCGAGGCATATATTTAATTTTTAATTATTTTTATTTAAATAATTAATAGACCAATTGGATAAAGCAGGCATTATTCGTATAATTATTTCTTACCTCCAACTTAATCAATTAATTTCCAATTTAATTAAAAATAATTTAAAAGAAAATAATATATTTTTAAAAACAACAAAGGAATGCTTAGATGATCGCCAACTTAAACGTCAATGGGTTGCCTCTACTTCCAATTGTTTAATTAAAAAACCTTTATTACACCAATTTGCATTAAATTTATTTCAAGTAATTTAATTAAAAAATAAATTTATTTATTCTTTTAAAGGCAATGGATGGATTTATAATTGTAATAAATAATAAAGGAAATATTCTTTATGTTAGCGAAACTGTAGCAATCCATCTAGGTCTTCCTCAGGCATTTAAATATTTTTATTTAAAAATTCTTTCCGAAAATTTAGGCAACTTTAGTTGGAAGTTATTTAATTAATTTTCTTCACCCAAATGATGTCCAGCTTTTAATAGATAAATTGGCACTTTTTGTAGATTCTAATTTATTACAAATAACACATCCAGATATGAGTTTTATACTTCGTTTTCTTTGTTTATCTGGCCGAAGACCTTTCCCAAATTCTTCGAGAGGATTACAAGGAATTAAAGTTTTTTTCTTTTAAAAGAAGAAATATTCCTTTAAATTAAAAATAAAGACAATCCATTTTATGGGAACTTTATGGCCAGATAATGATGGACGTTTTATTGGGTTTGGCCAGCCAATGTTACAAGATGGACAAAATGAATTGATTTTAACGTTTTTTAATTAAATAGATACCTAAATTTAAAAATTATTTTAGTTCCTCGATGTTTATGTTTCGAGCAAATCTTTCCTTAAAACTTTTATTTGTAGACAATCGGTGGGAATTCTCTTTTAAATTATTTTCAAATTCCAAGAAAAAATAATTTTTAACTTTTTTACAGTTTAATGGAAATATCTGGTTATTCCCATCAAAAACTTTTGGATAATACTTTATATAAATTTGTATTTCCAAACGATTTAAGTCAAGTAATAGAAATGCACCAAATTGGTAAAAAAAATATATTTATTAATTAAAAAATAATTTAAAATTTTAAAGCTTTAAATCAAGGTCATTCACAAAGTAAATATTTTCGCCTTTTAAATATTAAAGGGGAAAATTTTTGGATAAATTGCAATTTATATTTAATTAATTTTGGACGTTTAAATATTAATTTTGAACCACAATTTTTAATTGGAGTTTGTTATATTGTTAGGTAATTAATTTAAAAAGAAGTTTTTTTTTCTAAGTTTTTAAAAATTTATTTTAAGTGGATTAGAAGATTGTGATAATTGTGAAAATAAAAAGGAAAATAAAAATAATTAAAATTTAAACTAATACATTTATATTATTTTATTTTAATAAAAAAAATTTCAAAAAAACTTTTAAATTCTCTTTCAATTTTCTTTATTCCGAAAATTCATTTTTATTTAAATTAGTGCAAAACTAAAAGTTCAATTACTTAGAAAGTAGATATCATCTTTTAATATTTATTTATCTATTTAGGGTATCTTTATATTCATCCAAAATTAAGTATATTAAAAAAAGGATCTATGTATTTACTACTATTTTGCTTTAATAAAAATTTAAAATGTAAAATCATTCTTAAAAAACCCTTTCAATTATTGCATAATTTAAAAAAATGTTGAATCGAGATAATATACCTTTTAAACGTTTTCAACGTGTTTATTTGTTGGTATATGGATTGGCTGTAGCTGGGGATTGGCTACAAGGCCCACATGTTTATGCTTTATATCAATCATATGATTTAACCAAACATCAAATTGGTTTGTTTTCAAAACAAAAATAAATTTTAAATTAATAATACTAAAATAATTCTTGCATACGGGGTCAAACCCAAATAAAATAAACGTTAATAGTAGGGTTCAGCGGGATCGGGATCTCGATCCGCTCAATTCTAGTTAATAGTATATTGTTCTATAGTAGAATCTGTATAAGTTCAAACTAGGGCCAAATTTTTTGACGTATGAAGGGATGTACTGAATGAGAGAATGTTATCTCGCAGGCTTCCACTGTAAACATAAAACAGAAATGCAGTTAAAGTTTATTTGGAGAGGCTTTAAATTCTTTAACTTTTATATTTAAATTTGAAAGGATATTTTTATAAAATTTAAGAATTATTATTTATTGCTGGATTTGGTTCAAGTCTTATTTTTGGTACTTTTGTTGGCTCTTTTGCTGATAAATTGTTTGTTTCTAACAATTTAAAATTAATTATATTTTTAGTGGAAGGAAAGCTAATTGCCTTCTTTATGCTTTTTTATATAGTATTGGATGTTTAACAAAGCATTTTTCATCTTTTAATATTTTGTTAATTGGAAGATTATTGGGTGGTATTGCTACAAGTATTCTTTTTAGTGCTTTTGAATCTTGGCTAATTTGTGAACATAATAAAGTAATTTATTATATTTTAAACTGTTATAACTTTTTGCCCCGATATTTATGAGAGAACATCTAGCAATCTCGATTCCTACAAATTCGGAATTGGTTTTTATATCGGCATGACCCCTTATGTATATCCCTGATTAACAAAATAAAATAATTTTAGAGGCAATTTGATGAAGAAAAACTTAAATCAGTTTTTGCTAAACAAACATGGACAAACTCATTAATTGCTATACTTTCTGGTATTTTTGCTCAACAAGTAGCTAATTTGTTTGGATATGTGTATGTTTTTATTTTAATAAAACCAATTTGTTTAAAAATTTATTAAAATAATTTAAAATAGAACTAATAAGCTCTTAAAGATTTTTTAATTTTCAAAATTATTTTTTTAAAAAAGTGCCCCTTTCGATGCTTCTTTTATTGTTCTAATTTTTATGGGGTTTGCCTGTCTTTTTACTTGGTCTGAAAATTATGGAGATGAACAGGCTAAAATTGGAGAAAATTTTTTATTTGCCTTTAATTCAATTAGAAATGGTTCTCCTTAAATTTATTTTTAAATTTTATTTTTTAAATTAAAGATTGCAGAATCCTTTGTCTTGGTTTAATTCAGAGCCTTTTTGAAGGGTAAGAATTCCTAAAAAATTTAAAAGTTTATTTAAAAATATTTAGTTGTATGTATGTTTTTGTTCTTGAATGGACCCCGGCTTTGAGCAGAGCAGCTGAATCTGAGGCAATTCCCCATGGCTATATTTTTGCATCTTTTATGTTGTCAGTTATGGCTGGATCTGCATTATTTAATCCGTTATGTCAAAGATGGAAACCTGAAGCTATTATGCGGTTTTTAATTATTTTTGGAAATTAATAAAATTATTTGGCCATTTTTCTTTTTAGTTTAGCAACTTATAAAAAATATTAAAAATTGAATATCGTTATAGGATTAATATAATAATAACGTTACTGGAGAGTAGTAAGTAAGGAGGACTACGAGTTAATTTTATTAGGTGTTATTCACAAAACACACCTAATCTATATAATTAGGGATTTCCTTCGCAAAAAAAAATAAATTTTAATTAAATTTTCCACAAAATTTTTTCTAATTTCTTTTTTCTAGTTTTGTATTATTATTTTCTGCACTATCATTGTCTACACCATTCTTAGTGTCTGATCAGCCTTTATCTATATTTGCCTCCTTTAATCTTTTTGAACTTTGTGTAGGTATTGCTTGGCCAACTTTAGGGTTTCTTAGAAGTAAATATATTGCTGAAAAGGTGATTTTAATTTAGAAATTATGTATTTTAAAAATTTATTTAATAGAGTCGTTCAACAACAATGAATCTTTTTAGAATACCTTTAAATTTATTAGTTATATTTTTATTATGGCAAAATATTTCGCTTGATTTAATTTTTACGGTAGGAGATAATTATATTTAAATAAATATGAGTAGTTCTCTTAAAAAAATATCTAAACTTGTTAATTTTATTTAAGTTTTGTTTTCTCCTTTTATTGCTAGCAGCATTAATTCAACAACATTTTTACAAGTTTGTTAAAAAAATAAAAACTTTTAATTAAAATTAATTTTCAGTTTAACAAAAGAGCAACAACACAAAATAATTTTAAATTCTGATTTTATTCAATCAGAAAAGTTTGTTTTAGATGGGACAGATGAAAGTGAAGAAAGTAATTCTGATGAGGAAGAAAATAAGAATATTAAAGAAATTATTGTTAAACAACCATCAAAAAATAATTATGAAAAAATAGAAAATGAAGGGAAGGAAATTGAAAGAAATGATATTGGGAAAGGATAAATAAATAAATAAATAAAAATATTTATAAAATTATTTATAAAATTAAATTTAAAAATAAAATTAATTTAAATTTAAATTAGAAAAAATGTTTGCGATGAGGATAAGCTTGCGATTCCTCTACTTCCTGAATTTCTCCTTGATGTAGTTATAAAAAGTGATCGGAATTTCGTACCGTATCGTATCGTACCGACTGTAATTCCTATAAATCCTTTTATATCTTCTCTAATTCCTCCAAATCCCCCATAATTTGTGAATAAATTAACGAAAACAGAACGAAAGCGTATTATTTTTTATACATACTTTATTTTTTAAAAGATTTTTTCCCCAACCCCCCGTACCCCGACCATATTTTGCTCCCCCGACTCGACCCCGCCCCGAAACATTTGGAAAACCCCGTACCCCGATTAACTTCAAAAACTAATTCCAATTAATCTTCTCGTTAATTTCGAGTTGTCTTTAAAATTTTTTCCTTCTTTCATTATTTCCATTAATTCTTTCTTTATTAAATTTTTGAGCTTCTTCAATAGAAGGCTCTTCAAGTCTATCATAACGGTTAGGCTGTCGATGATTGGAACGAGCATGTTGAATTAATTCAGAAGTTAAACGAAAAGAAGCACCACAAATTGCTTTAAAATATTTTTAAATAATTTTAATAAAAAAAAATAAAATTAACCACAAGTATTAAAATTAATATTTAAATAATTATTGTTGTTGTTGATTTTATTATTTTCTTCTTTTAATATTAATTCAATTATCGGGTTTGTTGTTGATGGTAAAGAATTATTAAATATTTTATCCTTATTTTGGCTTATAAATCTGTCCTAAAAATTTTGTTTGAAAAATTTTTTGAAAATAATTTTGTCAGAACATTTTTTGACTCAATCCCTTCTTTTGTTCAAAATTAGGGTAGCACCCCGTCCCCCAAAACCTGACATGGCTTCCCTTGCAAACCCCGATCCCCGATACTTCCGACACCGAAGGCTCGGGGTGGTACCCTATTTAAAATAATTGGAAAAAAATTTAATTTTTTTTGTTAAAACAAAGGAACTAAAAGTACAACTCAAACCTTATGGAATACCTGTAATTTCTTATCTTTGACTAAAATTAGATTTTCAGTTAAATATTCTTCCAAAAAATTAATTACTTAAAATATTTAGTATAAAATTATTTAAAAACATTTACATTTTGTGTTTCACAATTAATATCATTTTTTGTTTTAGTAATTCCATCATTATTTCCATTATTATTAATTATAAAATTTAATTTTGAAGGAAAAGGCCTTTTTCTCGTTTTACAATTAATTAATGATTTTCTTCTTTTAATTATTTTTTCTTTATTATTTTTATCTTCTTTTAATGTTTCTACAATTGTAAATGATTTTTCATTTTGTTTTTTAGCGGCCAATGTCATTGCTAAATTAGCAAAGTTTCCTAAAGGTCCTCCAAATGATGGAAAGAAAGAAGGAAAGAATGGTGGTGGTCGAATAAAAGGTTGAGGAATTGTTGTTGAAGAAGCTGTTTCTGAGAAGGAATTTGGAGGAGGTATAAATGGAATTGGAAAAGGTAAAGAAGTTGATTGGAAAAATGGAGGAGGCCTTCTTTAAATAAAAAAAATTTTTAATAAAAGTTTAAACAATTATTTTTAATTTACATATGTATATTAAGGGAAATTGGTATTAATTAAATTTATTAGATCAAAAGGTATCTAAAAAATTTTCTCAATTAGGCAGCCTATCATGAACTAATTCAAACAAAATTCCGTGAAAAGTGTATTCAAAAACCAAAAAAATGGTCGGTTTCTATGTCATCCTATTTTAACTTTTGGTTTTAGGCAAGAAACGATCAAGTCTAAGATACTTTAGAAAAACCTCTATTTTTTTAATTTCTAAGGTTAGCTTAACAAAAAAGAACCTAAAAAGAATTCTTCCTTCACCATTAAACAAACAAGGGGGTAATTGAGGTAATGAACATGTTTGTTGTTTTTGGGTTTGTTGTTGTTTTAATTGATTTATTTGATTATTTTGTTGTAATCGAAAATATTGTTCTGAAGCTGTGATAAAAGCAAATCGAGGTGAAATTGAAAGAGAGGATGATGATGAGGGTGAAGAAGAAAAATTGGAAGAGGAAGGGGATTTAAATGAATTTATATATTCTTTTGAGATATTCTTTTGTCTATCTATTTCATTATTGGAATTGTCCAAACCTGGATTCCAAACTGTTTTTTGATTTTTTGTATTGGAAGACATTTTCTTGTCTACAATAAAATATTATGAAATGATTAAATATTTAATTTTCAGTTCGATTTTATGCCCGCAATTGAGGTTGGAAAATTAAATGTTAAGAGGATGAGGATGTATTTTTGAAAAAATTAACAACATTATTAAGAAACTAGTAAAAGAAAGGGAGAGAAATTTTTAATAAATATTAAATTTTGATTAAAAGAACGCAGCGGGAAGTTAAAAAGATGAACGGCTGTCTCAATTTTAATAAAAATATTCAAAAAAAAAAGATTTATCTTTTAATAATCTATTTTTATTATTTTTCGGTTTTCTTCCTCATTTAAAATCGGGAAAGGGCAATAAAAGTCAAAGCAACAATAAACAAAACAAATGTTTGTGTGGTGATGACATTTTCCCAAAGGAATTTCAAATAAATAAAAAAAGCCGAATTATTCTTTAATTTCTTTGTTCGGTAATTTCTTTTTTAAAAATTGAAGAGAAAATAACCATTTCCCAAAAGAGAAAATTTTTTGAAAGGAAAATGCGCTCGCACCTTTTAGTAAATCTTTAATGGAAAAGATTTGATGAATTTATGGCGACAGCCTTTTTGTTTTGGTTATTGTGAGAAAAGTATTAAAAAATAAATAAATAAACAATCAAAATGAGATGCTCAAAACTGTTTAGATTTTTAAATAAAAATAGAAAATACAAAAGTTTTACCTTCCGGAAGATGTTGGCAGGATAAGATGCCCTACAAACTAAACTACTGAGGCTGAGCTTTATTAGAACTAATTTGTAAGACCAGTCTAAGCATTCTAAATGCTGCAGTTTAAAAATTCCTTCTTATTCACAATATTACTTGGCACCAATAATGCAAGGAATATTATAGAAAAGGTGATAATTCTCAGCAATTTAATTCTTACCCTAATATGTTAATTATTCTTTCCTGCCATATAAAACACTTTTTACCAACTTTCCATCCTCGTCCAGAATTTTTGCATAATTTTTTAAAAATATTCTTTTAGAATATAAGAATAAAAATGTGAGAGTTTACTGGCTCATTAGGTTTATTCCCCCCCTCTCCCTCCCTACCTTTTTGCTTTTTTATTCCTTTCCCCTTCATCCGCGCGCACTGATTTATTATGGAAAAGGATCATAAGAAAAGGAAATGAAAATCCTGGAAAAATGAATATTTATTTATTTTACATAATGTGTTTAGTTGACCGTCGGGTTCAGTATTATTTAAAAGAAAAATGGAAGGAAGGTTTTTCGAGAATGAAGAAAAATGGGGGAAGATATTAATGTTGAGAAAAGGTAGAGAAAAATGTTAATTGCCATTTGCGCAAACAAGATGTAAATACAGTATTTTATATTAAAAAAGGGAAAGAATAGTAAACAATAATGAGATTTACTTTGAATAATTTAATGAAAAAATTATTTCTCAGAAATTATTCTGAAATAAAAAAAATAAAGTAGAAATTTTACATAATTAGGGATTCTGAAACGATACTGAGTCTGAAAGAATCAAAGACTGATATTTTGGGGAAAAAGTAAGAAACACAAGTTGTACAGGGTGACACAAAAAGGATGTCCCACTTTTCAATCCATTATAACTTCTTTTATTCTTTTTATTTTTGAATAATTTTATACTCTTTTTGTAGCCCATTCAATTCTCTATATTATATAGTAAAATTAAAGATTTTTGATTAAGGATTGGGAAAGTTATGCAATTTTACATATACTATATCAAAATCTGCTCCCCAAAATTTCACTTTCTGTATCTCAACAATGAAAAGCCCAACCGGGATGATCTCAACAGAATTTAATTAGGCTTATTAGCAAGCCTAACGAATCTGAAAGCTGAAAACTCCAACTCTTACATAGATGGCTCTGAGTAGATGTTAATCAGTTTTGGGAGGAGTGCGATTTACTCATTTTGGGAGGGTTACGCGCAATCGAATATCTCTTTAAGCGTTAACCCAAATAAAATTTTGTTTTATAATTTCTATAGGCCAAAGACTGCTCTAAATTCCATAAAAATTTTGTGTAATTCATGCATTTTGTTCTAAAGTTATAGGCAAAATTCCTCAAAAAAAGGTGCGTGCCGGATCGAAATTTTTTCTCACTTGCCTTCAACTTTATCTCAAAGTAGAATGCGGAAAATTCTAAAAATTTTTGATATCTTATTCTTCATTTAGTTCTCTATAATATCATCTTTATTTTATCTCATTATCTTAATTCTGAATAAAGTTATGACGAAAAATAAGTGGGACATCCTTTTTGTGTCACCCTGTAAAAACATTTTTATTTGTAAGAGGAAATAAATGCAGATTTTTAAACTAAAATATGTCAATTGAGTTAAATATAATAAAAATATTGTTGAATAAATTGATAATTTATTAAAGAATTTCTAGTTTATGTAATTAATATATAAATGTAAATCTTATCTGTCTAACAATCTCGAATAATTTGCAAAATAAAAAAATTTATTAAAAGGATCAATTATTAAATTTCAACTAATTATTTAAAAACTGTAGTATTGTTTGTATTGTTTTCTACTTTAAAATATTTTTGTTCTCAAAAAATTATTTTATAAAATACACAAATTTCTTATTAAATAATTGACGATTTAATGAGTTGTTTGTATAAAAGAAAAAGTAAAGTCAAGGATTAGGACACAAGCTTTAACTAAAATATATGTAGTAGTATGAAGAATAACACATAAATACAAGTGGATTAGTAAAAAACTACCAAAAATCACTCCCTCCCTCTCCTCTCTCTTCTTGTTAATTCAAGTATTTCCCCCATCTTTAACACCTTTTCCAAACAATAGTTAGTACACAAATTGTCTTCTTCACAAAATTATTTTATAATTCTCGTAGTTCTCGTCCAATAAAAATTTCCTGCTGTGCCATTGTTATTATTTTCATTTTACTCATCCATAATTTTTTAATAAATAACAATGTGGTTGCTAATTTCGATTAAAGAATTATTGAAAGAAAAAAATATAAAAAAAGTAAATAAGGAAGTGGAAGAGTCTGTTTGTGTTAATTGTAGGGATTAGCTAGAAATCCAGATATATTTTCAATTAAATTTAGATAAAATAAACTTCTCAAATTAAAATTACTGTATATGCTCGAATAATTGCCTGGGTAATTATTGTTTTAACCTTTCGCTATACGGGGTAATTATTTGAGAGGGGTAAAAATTATTTCGACTTTAAAACATAAATGTTTTTTGTTTTATCATTTATGGACACACCAGCCATGAAAAATAGGGGTAATATTAGGGAGGGTAATTATTTGAGAGAGGGTAATTATTCAAGCATATACGGTATGTATATGATTAAAGGAATCTAGCATTCCCTTGCAACGTCGAAGGAATAACCAATAACTAAAATAAAAAAATAAGAGAAGCCTTTCATCCTCAATTGCTTTTGTTTTAAGCAAGCAAAATGCTTGATTAAAAGTAATTTTGGAAATTAGATTTTTATTTAAGAAATGCGATTAAAGTTAATTGGAATTTTAATTGGACTTTATCCAAAGTAGTTGATTTATTTGTCGCTGTTTTCCTTCAAAGAGATACAAATGAAATTTAGATAACATAAAACAAGAGAAAGATTTACTAAATTTGTTGGATAAATTAATCAAAAATAACAAAAATAACAAAACACATGCAAGGCCAGAATTTAACACAAATAAAGCCACCGTTTGGTCTACTGACGTTTTATCCGGCAAATGACGGATTGTCCACTGACGGATTGTCAGGACACTCTTTTGTTGTTGGCTTAAGTTTAGAATATTTTAAACTTTTTGATCCTTTTACGTTTTTTCCCTTTTTCTGCCCATTTTTCTCCCTTTTAACTTTAAACGGAACGGAATTCACGGGGATTCGGAAATTCCTTTTGTCGCTATAAACCTGGGATTCTCAAGAAAAGGTCCCGCAAGATCCCGTTTGAATCTGCTCTCACCTGCTCTAGTCACTCTCTTACATCTAGTCACTTTCTTACAAGACTGTTTTCAATTGACTAAATAAAACATTTTTCTAAATTTCTGGACTTTTCACCTTCAAATATTTTTTAGATTAACAATGTCAGCGGCGCTAGAAATGATTATGGTCTTATCAAAATTGAATAATTTACACAGTTTTATTGATAGAATTAATTGTTATAAACAAGCATTCAGGTTCTGATAGATTAAAAAATTCTTTCATGGGATTTAAATAATTAATACTGAGTAAAATCCAGGGGAATTGAGAAATCTGTTTAGGATTTATTTTTTTAATTTAATATTTCTTTTAATTTTTAGTAATGATGGAAATATTCTTGAATTAATCTCAAAGGCAATAAATGGTAGTTGGACTATCCGATTCGTTAAAGATGTTTTTGAAAGTTTCGAAAATGAAGAGGGTGGTGGATGGATTTTTGAAAAATTTACACTTATATTTGATGAATTTGGTATTGGAATTGATCTCACTTCAAAATCTGGTACAAAATCTGGTCTCTCCATTCATGAAAAGTTAGTGCAATGGCTCCAAAAAGAAGGATTATTACTCGTGAAAAATTGCCTCGAAAAACAAATTGAATTTTCGTGTATTAGAGCTATAAGGGCTTGGGGAATTGCTATAAGAATGTTTGGATTTGTATGTTTTTTTAAATTATTTTAACTTTAAATTGAATTAATTTTAGGCAGAAATTCAACCAAGCGGAAAGACTAATTCGTGTGTCTCTGTTTTTCCTTTGGCAATTCGTTCAGTGCATCTAAGTGTCGCGAAAGAGGCTTTTCGCTCCTGGAAAATTCTTGTAACAGTATTTGCTAGTGATCCAAGGTGGAGTATGCTTGTTCTGTCTTCTGAAAAAAGTTGGGATTTTTTGTCTTTTTTTATTATCCGGTTAATTATAATTTTTACATAATTAAGGTGCAAAAATTGCCAGTCGGCTTGAACTTATTCTTAAAGCTTTAAAATACAAACAAGTCCCAGAAATGGCTAATGAAATGTTTGATTGTTGGTGGTTTTGTTGTATATCTCTCGAATCTCGTCTTTCTATTCATTTTGAAGATGTATATATTTTTAAAATTAAAAATAAATTTATATTTTTTAGGTTGCACACGGTCTTCTTCGTTATTGTGTTGGGGGAACAACCGATTATAAATCAACTAACGAGGAATTTTCTATTATTTATCAAAGTGTTAGTGGCCCTTTAGGCACAAATCTTGTTTCTTTACTTAATTCAAAATTGGAAAGGAAAGCTTATTCGCATATTACTTTAAAGGAAATACCTGAATTGTGGCCTCGTCTTTTGGATGTTTTAGAATCTCTTATAATTGTGTCGCCGAAATTACGTTTGTTTTATTGTGTTAGGGACTTAGCTATACTATATAATCAGACCCGTAGGTCTCCCCGAAATGGGATTTTTGCCTTACAGCTTGTTTTTCTGGCTATCAGGCTTCCAAAATTTTCATTTCGCCTGCGGCGCAAAAATCATTTTTTGTTTTTTATGTTTTATTTTTATCGACTACTAACATAAGGAAAATTGATGATTTTAAGTGAGGAAAGAAATTATGGAAAAACCAAGGGATCCTTGTTTTTAAATAGATCCTTGTTTTTAAATATTTTAATTTAATTTATTTTTTGTTTATTAAAGACACTATAGTAATCGACTTAACTCATTTTTTAGATAATGCAAAACCGTGCGTTTTTGATAATCCAATTGTTCTTGTTGATCATAGTGTTTACGCCATGCAATGTATTCGGTTTTGCGACGTTAAATGCAATAGAAAGAAAATAGGTTTTTTCAATTTTGTTTAATTTTTAAAATATTTTTCTTTTAGTTAAATTTGAGCAAAGAATTACGAATTTATTTGTCACTTTATTTAACAATATTTACAATCTTTCACCTTCTACTGATATAGATCGCTCAGGCCAATTAGTTTTGTTTCTTGCACAATTTGTAGCTTGGACGAAGGAAACAACCATGCAATCTGAATCACTAAATGTATATACTATTTTTTTATTTTTTTACATTCGGGCTTTTCCTTCTGATTGATTGGAAACTTGGATAAATGATAAAAGTACTATTGAATTATCTCCACGCATTTCTTGACTAAATTGAACTTTGTAGAAGGGCTTAATTCATTTTTTTGATCAATTCCTCTTCATGGCTAAGTGCCTGGTACCATAAAAGGTCTAAAGAAAATACAGAATTTTTCAAATGCCGCTAAAATTAATTTTTTATTTAATTTTGTAGAATTGCATTTCTCAAATCAAAAATCGCAACCCATTTTCACAAATTGAGCCTGCACACACATCTTACATTGAACAACTAAAGGAAGGGCTCGAAATATCGGAAGGGAATACCTCTGTTGTGGTTGACGAATCCGTAGAAGATAAGCCTAATGAAATAGAAGAAAATATTGAAGAAGAATCTACTGAAGATGTAAATAAAATTGTCAATGAAATTATTGAAGGATTAATAGATAGTTCAGAAAAGGCGAATAATTTAATAAATGATGAATCAACTAATTTACAAGAACAAATTTTATTGAATACTCCTTCAACTGTTGTGGTTATTATGCTTTTGATATTGTTTTTAATAATGTATCTTAGGAATGCGGTGAGGCAATACATAAAAATTTAAAGGCAATACATAAAAGTCCGGCTAGGCGTAGTTTTACATCTAAAAACGGAGGTTTATTTTTTAGCTAACGAACTTCAATACTTTATCATTTTAGGATTTGGTTCACCAGGAATATTAAGAAAACGAGAACTTTCAAGCGGTACAAGCAAAAGTGTTCATTGGTCTCCTGTTCTCGTTCGTTCACGTTCAAAATCACCTGACTCTAGGAAGTTGCAACGTTTAGGCAGCGGCAAATCTGCTTCTAATTCTCTTTGGAATGGTTTCTTTTAAATTAGATAATTATACCGATATAGGTACCAAACTCGGCTTTTTCGAACCAATGGTCCAGTATAGTTTTTGTGCACCCTAATTGTGGGTGTAAAATTCCTGTAAAAATTTTATAGGAAAACAATAACTTATTGAAAATAGAGGTACCAGTTATAAAACAGGGCTTTATAGAGGGAGATATCCGATGACCGGTACTACTAATTATGAATACCTTTCCGTTTAATTAGGAAATATTTTTTCACCTTGGTCATTTACGATCTAAGCGTCATACATAACATTATTTTATAATTTTTATGTTAAAGGACCACCTCTTCGCTCATTAAACGAGGAAATTGTTGAACCACCTTCAAAACTTTCTAGAATGGAGCCGTCGCATTCAGAGCAAGAACAAGTTGAAGAAATGTGTGAAATCGATTCCGAAGAAACTTGTAATGGCAGCGATGGAGAATTTCATTGGGTCACTGTCTTTGGCTTTACGCCTGATTATCGTGATGGCGTTTTGGAATTATTTTCTCGACATGGGGATATCATGGCACACCGGGTATTTTTTAATTTTAACCTTTAAATTTATTTTTTTTGTGGTGTAAGGCGACAAAGGATGGAAATTGGGTGCATATTCGTTATTCGTCACCTGTTCATGCTCGTCAGGCTCTCTCCAAAAATGTAATACTTTTCCGTGGACAAATGATTGGTGTTGTGCCGTGTAGGGAAAAAACAACAGTTTCACCAAAAACTTCTGGAAATAGTTCCAATGGTTCCTGCTCATTTTTGGAAAATGATATGTCTGGCGTTGAACCACTGACTAGACTTGTGCCGTCTACTTCTTTCTACAAAGAAGACGCCTCAGTTTCCAAGTTTTATTTTTTCCGAGCATTATAACGTAGTTAATAACTTTAGTCGTGCACGAATTTCCTTCTCAACACGGGCTGGAATACGTCCACTCAATTCATGTCCTGTTTCCATGAATGGCAATGTTAGTTATTTTTATTAATTTAAATACCTATATGTATTATTAATGGGAGAACTCATATTTATGAATATATTTTTTTAACTTCAGGCTGATTCAAGCCTTGTGAAGGGAAAGGAAGATTCATTTATTGGAAAGCTTTGCAATAGTATATTCAGCAATGGAGGTGAAAATAGTGCTTCTACTAATACAGATTAATTTATCAATCGGGTTGAGAATTTGTTTTTGGGATGTACACAATAAACAAATTAATAGATTTTTTGACCTCTTTGAAATATTGAATCAAATTTTGAACAAAATTTTTTGGCATTTTTTGTTTATATTGAACTTAAAAATTATTTCTAAATTAATTTTGAAATGCACATAGGTATATAAAAAAGCATTGTATACTTTATAACAGGACTGATCAGGGGTGAGCGCATTGCGTTAAATTTTGGTTGCATGTTGCGTTATTTTTTGCGAAATTAACGCAAAAATACAACTAATCTGAGCACAAAAATGGAAGAAATCTATCTCCTTGACCTTTCAAAATTTAAGCCTGCGGCGCATGAAAAGGAAGAAATCCGGTGCGTGAAAAGGGAAAAAATATATTCTGACATGGAGCGAAGAAAACTTCGGCTCTAGTTCTGGTGTCCTTATCTTCCGGTATCACCTTTTGCCCGTGCGTACCACCATGGCCATAGACGAACGGCCATTCTGAAACGTCCCCTTCTCGAAATTTTATTTGAGTCTAGAAGTCTGAGTCTTTTTCAGAGTTTCTGTCTAGAGTCTTTTTTCCCCCATTTCCTTGCCTTACATCAGTAATTTTTCAAATGGCACTTGACGAGTCAACAAAGAAGAATTTGAAACAGATTCCCTTGCTGAAAACAAATGCGGGTCCAAGGTTGTGATAAATTTGGATTTTTAATAATTTTTAATTAGGGACGGACCTTTATGGCTTGAGCGTTTAAAAGAGGAATACAATTGTCTTATTACTTTCATAAATAATAATAAAGCAAATGATTCAGATTGGTTTAGATTAGAATCAAATTCAGATGGGACAAGATGGTTAGTTAATATTTTTTAAATTGAATATCTTAAAATATTCAGGTTTGGCAAATGTTGGACATATCATGATAAAATTAAATATGAATTCGATATTGAATTTGACCTTCCTGTTACATACCCTAAAACTGCACCAGAAATTGGTATCGTGTTATCTCGCCAAAAGCTTGACTCGCCAAAGCTTGACTCGCCAAAAGCTTGACTCGCCAAAGCTTGACTCGCCAAAAGCTTGTTTCGCCAAACCCCCAAAAGCTGTTGACTCGCCAAACCGTGGAAAAAAGCTTGTTTCGCCAAACCCCCAAAAGCTGTTGAATCGCCAAACAGTGGAAAAAAGCTTGTTTTGCCAAATAAATACCAAAACTTATTATTATTCAATTTGTTAATAAAACTGTGGAATTTTTTATTATTTACCTCGCGGTGGAATAACCTGTTGCTTTTAGCCTGTTGGTTTTTAGTCTTCGCTGGAAAAACTGTTTTTGTGCCAGGCTGATTTTTGGGTTCAAAAATTCGATTATACAGAGGATACCTCATTCGAAAGTGCTCGACGAGCTGAGTCGAATGACACCAAAATCTGCTCGGTTGGATGATTCTGAACCGAATTATAACCAACTGAATCTTCGCTGGAAAAACTGTTTTTGTGCTGCTACGGAGGGTAGGCCGGACATGGTCTTCGCTACACGATGGCCGTGCTTCGCTGCGGTCGTGCTCGCTTCGCTCGCGGCGACCGTAGCGAAGCGGCGGCCGTCGTTCCGCTCGACATGCCCGGCTTCCTCCGCAGCGGCAAAAACTTTTTCCGCGTAGGCATTATGTGAGAGGTTTCCACACTTTGTATTATGAAGGATTTTGGAGGAGGATTATATTATACACAAAGAGGAGTTTTATAAAATTCTTCTACAGTTTGGCAATTCAACAGCTTTTGGGTGTTTGGCAAGACAAGCTTTTTACCACGGTTTGGCAATTCAACAGCTTTTGGGGGTTTGGCGAAACAAGCTTTTTTCCAGGGTTTGGCGAGTCGACAGCTTTTGGGGGTTTGGCAAGATAAGCTTTTTTCCACGGTTTGGCGAGTCAACAGCTTTTGGGGGTTTGGCAAGACAAGCTTTTGGCGAGATAAAACGTGCCGCAGAAATTGGTTCACATGTTTTAACAGTTTATTTTAATATTATTTTTTATAGCATTACCTGAATTGGATGGAAAAACTGCTAAAATGTACAGAGGTGGGAAGATTTGTTTGAGTGAGTCTTAATATTCTTTGAAGAATTCTAATTTATATTTTAGGCGATCATTTTAAGCCACTCTGGTCTAGGTTAATTTTTAAATTATTATTTTTGTAAAAATATAGTTTACAAGGGAACATTTCGAACTGTGAGTAAAAAGTTCGAAATAAAAGTTATACCATCGTGTAGAGCATCGTCGAAAACCTTTATGGTTTCCGGCTTTTTCGGCTCCGACCCCCATTTCGAAAAGTTATAGGTCTTCAAAGTTTTCGATTTTTGGAGCGGTTGAGTCGCCCTCACTTTTCTTATTATTTGTCTTACTAAAGAGAAAAATGAGACTCCTTTTCTCCATTTTTCCTTTCTTCTTCTTTTCCCATGTCGGTTAAAGAAAGAGAAAAAGAGGAGAGGAAAGAAAAGGAAAAGAGGCATGTCTGCCATCTCCTCTTTCCTTTTTAATTGACATTAGCTGCAAGGCAGAGATGCCTCTTTTCCTTTTCTTTTCTCTCCTCCTTTTCTCTTTCTTTAACTAATATTGGAAAAGAAAAGGAAAGGAAAAAAGGAGGATGGGAGTCTTATTTCTCTCCTAATAAAAGAAAACTCTCTCTTTATGAGGGCGACTCAACCGCTCCAAAAATCGAAAACTTTGAAGACCTATAACTTTTCGAAATGGGGGTCGGAGCCGAAAAAGCCGGAAACCATAAAGGTTTTCGACGATGCTCTACACGATGGTATAACTTTTATTTCGAACTTTTTACTCACAGTTCGAAATGTTCCCTTGTTAGAAATGCTCCAAAATTTGGAATAGCACATGCTCTTTCACTTGGATTGGGACCTTGGATGGCTGTTGAAATTCCGGAAATGATTGAGAGAGGGACAATAACGAAACCTTAGATTTGGTTTTGTATTTTGTTTTATCTTGAGAGATATAAATATTTGAAAAATATTTTTTGTAATTAAATGTTTTTATCAAAACATTTGGTATTTTGACTTGTTTTTCTGTTTCATATCAATAATTTAATTTTACATTTCATATAATTTTATAGAGTTTTGTTGACATTCTAAATCATAATTATGAATCAATTTCGCGATTTTTCGGACCTCAAAATGACAGAAAAAACGAATATCAACTCTTCAAATGATGCTCAGCAATTTGCTCCAAGTTTTTTGTTTGGCGGTCAACAGCCTGCTAGGCGCAGTTTTACAGCTAAAAACGGAGGTTTAATTTTAATTGACAGACTGACAATACTCGGTTATTTTAGAATATGGTTCGCCAGGAATATTAAGAAAACGGGAACTTTCAAGTGGTACGGGCAAGAATGTTCACTGGTCTCCTGTTCTTGTGCGTTCACGTTCAAAATCACCTGACGCCAGGAAGCTGCAACGTTTAAGCAGCGGAAAATCTGCTTCTACTTCTCTTTGGAATGGTTTCTTTTATATTAGCTAATTTAAAGATATTAATCTGAGCTAGTGAATTATTGTAAATTTGAGTAGAATCGGTTATTAATATTTAGGAATACTTTTCGTTTCGATAGGAAATATTGTTGCACTTGGCTAATTTACTGTTTAGGCTCCTGACAATGAAATTTTTTTATGTTAAAGGACCTCCTCTTCGCTCATTAAACGAGGAAATTGTTGGACCACCTTCAAAACTTTCGAGAATGGAGCCGTCGCATTCAGAGCAATTTAGCTTTCAGAGCAATGGTGGTGAACAAGTTGAAGAAATGTGTGAAATCGATTCCGAAGAAACTTGCAATGGCAGCGATGGAGAATTTCATTGGGTCACTGTTTTTGGCTTTACGCCTGATTATCGTGACGAAGTTTTGGAATTATTTTCTCGACATGGGGATATCATGGCACAACGGGTATTTTTTAATGTTTAACTTTTTAATTTTTTTGTTATATAAGGCAACGAAGGATGGAAATTGGGTACATCTTCGTTATTCGTCACCTGTTCATGCTCGACAAGCTCTCGCCAAAAATGCAACACTTTTTCATGGACAAATGATTGGTGTTGTGCCGTGTAGGGAACGGGATGCTTTGACTGTTCAAGAAACAACAGTTCCACCAAAATCTCGAAATAGTTCTAACGGTTCCTGCTCATTTTTGGAAAATGATATGTCTTCGTTACTTCACTTTAATGGTGGTGATACTCCGACAAGACTTGTTCCGTCTACTTCTTTCTGCAAAGAAGACATCTCAGTTCCGAGGTTTTGTTTTGTGGATCATTATGCATATATTTATTTCATTTCTTTAGTCGTGCACGTCTTTCCTTCTCAACACGATCTGGAATGCGTCCACTTAACTCAAGTCTTGTTTCTATGAATGGCAGTGTTAGTTTTTCTAATTTAAATATAAGACTCCAATATTTTTGGGCAAGCTGACGTTTCGTAATATTTCAGTATCCGATGGGTCTGATACTATATTTTCCTATTGAAAAAATAGTTTTTGCACACAAATCCAGATATGTCTGTCCCCACTTTTTGTTGATATTCCTTAAGTCCTTATTGCTATTCGGATATTTATTTTGTATAAATTTCAGGCTGATTCAAGCCTTGTGAAGGGAAAGGAAGACTCATTTATTGGAAAGCTTTGGAACAGTATATTCAGCAGTGGAGGTGATAATAGTGCTTCTACTAATACAGATTAATTTATAAATAATCGGGTTGTGAAATTGTTTTTTTGGATGTACACAATAAAAAAATAATGGATATTTTCGACCTCTTTTTGGATTATTTAAAACGTTTTTTGAATGAAATTTGATATTACTTTATATAAGGTATTACTTTTAAATATTTATTTTTATTTGTTTTATTTCTCTAACTTTTTATTGTTTTAAAACCCTAAAAATACTCAAATATATACAAATATTTTTTGATTTATTTATAAACTCATCATTGGTTGTTTAGGTTGTCTTTTATCATAAAATGTTGGTGCTTGAAGTAAAATCCAACAAGTGCCAAATACACAAGCAATTGAAAAAATAATAAGAAATAGGCGGTCAAAAACCTGTTTAGGGAGAATTTTTTAATTTATGATATTTTGTTAGGATTTTTATTAGTCCTATTTACCCCAAAAATTCATGATTTTTTAAAATAAAATTACCATAGCGACAAATTTCCATTCCATATCGGCCTGAATTATAAAAAATATGAGTAATTTTTATTTAAAATTTACTTTTGTATCCCGATCTTTTTTCTTCAATAATTCAGCTATAAAACACAAATTCTCGAAAGATTGCAAAGCTTTTGGTGAATTATATATTTTTGCTAATTTGGTTGCTAAAGGCGATTTATTTGTATTTCCTAATTGTCCAGTACTTCTTAAAAGGGGAATACCACGTTGACCGATTTGGGGAAAGTCACGTTCGAAATTTGCAAATAACTGGGAAGAAGAAGCAGAACTATAACCTAAATTAAACAATTATAATTTATTTGAGGAAAATTTTTTACGATTTCCTTGTGGAAATCGTCTCATAAACACTGGCCGTCTCATCATTAAAAGGCGTGGAAGTAAATTAAGAAAAACACTTCGGACAGTACTGCTCATTTGGTGAGTTGTTGGTTTGCGAAAATGGAATTGTAGAGCTTTAAAGAATTTGTAATTTATTAGTGTAAAGCATATATGTAGCTAGTTAATTCCTAAGGCTGCGCAGTAGGCGGCGTGTGTAACAACACATCAGTCCGGTCTACTGAAGATGCTGGTTCGCTCCCAGCCGCCAAATAACCTTTTGTACTAGCTAAAGGAGTGAAATAGCTGTAGCCCAGCTGCTTTACTTTAGCTTTTTAAGGGAATTTGAATGATTTGTTTGAATGATACCTAATTTAATTTTCGATAAGGTCCTCCTCTTCCCTCCCATCTCCCTTCTTTCCATTAAATTATTCTTATTAGACATAATTTTTTTAAAAATATTTTAAAATTTTTTAAAAACTCACAAACAACAGTAATTAAAACAGAAAGTGTAACTAATATCATTGTAAATAATAAATATTTTCCAACAAAGGGTAAAGTAGTGCTGTTTGCAGGGATTATTTCAATATAAAATTTTTTAATTAAAAGAAATTTTTTAAATTTAATTTACAAGTAAAAGGAAGAACATAGTTAAAGCAACAAGTATATTAATTGAAAGAGAAATTTTTTCACCAGATTCTGATGGAAGGTAGAAAACAAGTGCTGTGAGAAAAGAAATACCCACACAAGGGAAGACTAAGTTAACAGTGTAAAAGAGAGGTTTTCGACGTAATGCAAGATTAAACTAAAAGAATAATTTTTTAAATTAAAAATTCAAAAATTTACATCAATTTCTTCATAATCACCATTTTTGGAACCCATAAATCGTTTAAGACGTCTTTTTGCCTGAAAAAGAGGGAAATAACCAAAATGCTTATTTTTCTTTTATTTTTTCTTCTGGGTCCATTAAAAATTTTTGGATCCCTATTCATAGGTGTAGGTGCTGAAATTCTTTAATTTCTAGATTTTCTAGTCATTAATTTAATCCGTATTCCCCTTTTGATATATTTATTTTTAAATATTTTTAAGGATTTTAATAACTTGAGTTCCCATAATATCCCATTCCACAGAAGGATAATAATCACTAAGGTCTATTCCATCTTCCACAATTGTTTCAACTTCCTCCTGTCCATAATTACCAATAAATTTAACATCTGTGCTGCTTTCATTAACCAAAGTTAAATGTAAAAGATTTGTTGGGAAAGACCACGAGGCAAACTTTGAAATTAAAAGAAATTTATAAGTAATTTAATTTCAAGACTACAGTAGTTACTCTTATAGAATGGATAAACCCTTTAGATACTTTTATTATGTAGATTAAATTAGGTACCTTTTATTAGAATTTATTGCCCTCTACTTTATATGAGAAACTACAGCAGTAAGATTTAAAAAAATTTTTTACCTTAAGATGACAATTTTGTTCATCAAATGGAAACCTTTTTTAATTAAAAGTAAAAAACTAACAAAAAATTAAAATAAAATAAACCATTGAATATCAATCTAAAAATTATTAATTTTAATTTTTTCATTTAATTTAATTTACTTGACAGAGAGATTTAAAAATAGCTGGAGGTTCCCAAACAACTCTCCCATCCGAATGAAGTGTTGCTTTTGTATTTATCGTTATATTATAAAAGCCTTCTGCATTCTAGTTTAAAAAATAATTAGAAAAGATAAGGACTTAGTACAAATATTTATAGAAAGCTTAAACTGCATCTAAAAATGAGGATTTTGATAGAAATAAGATGTCTCAAAAGAACAATCCAAAAAGCGTATAAAATGGTTATCTTTAAAAATAATCGGCAAAAATATGGTACACTACGTATACTTTTTGAAAAGTATTATTTTATTTTAATATGGAAATGATTCTCAAAAATCCTCCTTGAAGAGTTAGAGTTCTAAACTCAAATAGACTTAACTGACATAAATCTAAAAATCAAGTGTACTGACGTGAGTAACGTAACTTCCTCTATGATCTATAACCTTACCTTCTATTTTTATTAAAATCTATTTCGTATTACCAGTTATTTCAGAATATTATTTATCTTATTAGTAAATTCATTGTACCCAATAAACAAATGCTTAATTTTAAGAAAAACACTAAAAAAAGAAAAGAAATGATATCAACTTACATTAATAAGAACAATATCTGGTACCTTAAAAGTAATTTAAAATTTTTTTTATGAAATTAATACCCAAATCATTTCATAAGGAACATAAAGAACTGAAACTCCACCATATTCAGACGGTTTCCAACTCAATTTTCGGTCAAACCATTCTTGTTTTAGCCAAACTTTGAATTTAATTTTTATTTAATAATTAATATTTCTTTGTAAATATTACCAGAAATAGTCATTATCTGATCAAGTTCATGCTTTAGAATTGAAAGAATAATTTAATAAATATGTATTTATATATAATTTTCCCGTATTCTGCTAAATATTCCCCAAATTTAATTACTAGCACAAGTTACTCAAAATTTTTATTTATATTTCATAACCTTTGGATAATTGTTATTACTATGATGGGGTTATCTATAAGAAAATATTTTCCCTGGGAGAGAACACTAGCACCATTTATGGAATCACCCAAGAACCAGAACTACACGGTTCTTTGAAATCACACAATTTAAAAAAATTTTTCTCAATTAAATATATGTATGAATACCAAAATATTTTTTAAAATATTTCTATTAAATAATTACCACATCAATAATTTGTGAAAGTCTAAGCCTTAAATAAACATTAATTGCTTCATTTGGATAAATTGCTGGCCTTCTATGTCTATTATACGACATCTATTTAAATTTTAAATTTAAATTTCATATTTACAATACCATTAAATCGTCAAAAAGTCTTTTAGCATTTTCATTAGCCAAAACAGTTTGTGGAATATTTGTATTTCCATAACAAATAAATATTAATAAAATAAATAAATTAAATAAATTAATTAAAATTTTATTTTGAATAAATAAAAATAAAGAGATTCTATTTTTGGATATTATTAACATTAAATGTTTACGATATTCTAAAATTTCTATAAATAAAAAATCTTTAAATTTTTAAATAAATGGAGAAAATATTTTTTATTTTATTTAAATTAAAAAATCCCTTTTTAATTTAGCTGATAATAAAATTATATATTTATTTATGCCGATTTTATTTAAAACGTGGATTGTTAAGAATATTGATAATTTTAAAGTTTTATAGTATGCTCTGTTTTTAAGAGATATGTAAATGAAGTAAAAATAATTAAAAGTTGAATTTCCTAAATTTATATTTTAATATTTAATTTAAAAAATAATTTTTCGAATTATATTTTTAACTAAAATCGACCACCGAAAAGAAAAAGTGTAAAAAAAATAAAATGAAAAATACTAAAAAAAAGAAGACAGCTACTAACAAACTCAATATTTTAGGCCACATAGTTATTGCAAGATTTTGGAGGAATTAAAAGAAAAGAAGAAAAAAATTGGGCGACACTTGGCTTTGATATATTTAAAAAAATATTTTTTTGTGTTTTATTTTATGGATTAACGGTTTTCTGTTTCCAATATTTTTTTCAATTTTATCCTCAGAATCATTCCAATTATGGAATAATCATTATTGTTAACTCACTTTATATCCAAATTATGTTATAAAAATATCAAAATATTATATATTAAACTTTTAATTTAAAAAAATAAAAATATAATAATATTTAGTTTTTTTGTAATCAAATTAATCTCTCTTTCAATTTATTATAAATCATTATCTAAATTATCAATTAATTGTGCTATCCATTCCGAAGCTTTTTCACTTATTTTTCTTCCAATTTCTAAAACATCCGAATGACTAATATCCATTGGATTATCCAAATCCAGACTACTACAATTTGTAATTAAAGAAAAAGCAAAACAACGCAATCCCAATTGTCTAGCAACCATTACTTCGTGGCAAGTGGACATTCCTTTAAATTTTTTTGAAAAGAAAAATAGAGATTTTATTTGTAATTTATTTAAGTATACCAACAGCATCTGCACCGAGTTTTGCAGCTAAAGAAACTTCAGCCGTTGTTTCATAATGAGGACCGGCATTCATTAAATAAACTCCTTCTTTAATGGATATTCCAAAATTTTTAGCTAGCACGAAAGCTTTTTGTCTGAAAGAAATTTTTAAAAATTTAATTTAAATAAATAGTGAATAAGAATTCTGGATTTTTTACAGCTAAATATTTTGAAACTTGCGGAAAAGGAATTTTAAATTAATCCAAGACCTCAATTTCTGGTCATAAGCATTTTGCATTGACACAAAACGATTGCCAAAACGAGGATCATTAAGCCCAACAAGAGGAGAAAATCTATAAAAAATATATTAAAATAAATATTTTCTTTTTAATTACCCAATTAGACCAGGCATAAAAATATGATCTTTAAGTATCATTAAATCCCCAATATTTAAATCTGAATTGACACCTCCAGCAGCATTTGAAGCTATTAATGTTTTAACACCCATCATTGCCATTAATCTAACAGGCATTGTACACTTAAAAGTAATTAAATAAGAATAACCCCTTCAGTAGAGACTTAGGTCTAAATTTTGGTAATCAAAATTTTTGAATGATTTCCCGACTAGATCCAACCTCCAACAATTTTTTAGCATCCATGTATCCCCAATAATTTAAAAAACAAACTAAAGCCATATCCATATTATGTTCATATGGGTGAAATCTTCCCTGTAAACAAATACAATATTTCCCTCCTAACCATCCAAAAATAACATTTCCTTTATGTCCAATAACTAAAAAAATATTTTTAAAAATTCTTATAAACTTCTTCTAACCGCTAGGTAAAGGAAATCCAGGCAATTTATCAAAAGGTATAATAATTGGTTTTTCCATTCTGTCAGCCAAATTATTTAAACCAGAGCCACAAATAATTCCAATTTGAGGAAAATCATTTTTAATGCCAGCAATCGAAATAATTCGTTTACTTAACCAAATAAGATCGTTGTAATTATTTGGACTTTTTTTTTGGAAAAAAATAAGAATTTTTAAATTTTAAAATTAAAAATTACTTAATTTTCTTTCGGAAACATTTTTTTCTGATAAAAGAAAATGGGGAGGATTTAAATGTTTTGTGTTGTATAATGTCATTAAAAGGTAATATTTTAGTAGATTTATTATTTTCAATATTATGACAATTATTTAAATTTTTAATTGATAATGTTGACATTTTTTTAAATAATTTAAGTATATATTCTATAAATATTTATTTAAAATAGAATGGATGAATAACAGTTTAAAAAATCATTGAATATTAAAATTCAAAGTTTATTTAAAATAAAAAAAAGAAAACATTAAAAATAAAAGGAAATAAAAACTGTTAAAGTACAGTTCTATTGACAGTGAGCTTATGACAGATGTGCCATTATACATATATTTAACGTACTTTGTAGTATTACGAGGGTTGCCAAATCAAGAAAATCATAATTTATTTTCTTTGAAAAAATTATTTAAAAGTACTTTATACTTAAGAAATAAATAGTTAAAACAAAGTTTAGAAATAATTTTGTTTTTTGACATAAATGCACCATACATATCAAGTGAGCCATTATACTCCACGCTTATTTTAATCATGATGATTAAAGTTAAAATAATTTTTGGAGTATATATTTAAATGAATCAGCAACTATGTACATATTTATAAAATTGTAGATTGATTTTTGTAAAATAATAATTAAAACAAATAGTCTTTTAATTATATATTCAATAAATGTTTGGTTATTTTTTTATCAGTAAATTTTTTATCAAAGTAACTGCATACTCTTGCAACCAAAGCTAATAAAAAAGTACAATTGATGAGAATTTAATTTTCTGATTGTGTGTTATAAATTTATTTTTGCTTAATTTTAAATATGATATTCTCTGAATAAAAGTGTTTATAAAATAAATTGTAACACATTTGCGAAAATATGTATTTTTATTTAAATTAAATATTTGATACCACAATTAACTTCCAACATACCGTATTTTCTCGATTAATTCCCCTCCCTCGAATAATTCCCCCTCTCGATTAATTCCCCATGCTAGAGTTGAGTTGAAACAATAATTCCCCACCCCCGAATACCCTACTGCACGTTCAAATGCCAAAACTCGAATAATTCCCCTCCCTCGATTAATTCCCTCTGCTAAGGAAGGGTGGAAAAAATAATTCCCCAGGGGAATTAATTGAGAAAATACGGTAGTTTAATCCATCGTAAATAAAATAAAAGTAAAAGATGAAACACACATAGGTACTTTAAACATTTTTTAAATGTATTCATATTTTTGGGGGATGATCAATTATCCTTCGACTATTATAAATAACGAGAGTAATGCTGTTTGTATTTTTTGTTCTCGCATTGAGAGAAATTGGTGGATTTAAAGGGATTTAGAGGGATTAAAATGGATTTGGCGGGATTAGTGGTGGACCTGGAGAGATTTAAGTGAATATCGAGAGCATGATATCAAGAGAGTGCATTTGGATAGGTAGGAGGGTTAAGAAGATATGGATGGAGGAACTCGTGCCAAAAAGACCCCAACCTGCTGAAAATGAATATTTTTCTCTTTGGACGAAGTTTTGGTCAGTCGAAGTTTTGGCCGGACGAAGTTTTATCTGTTCGAAGTACATATTACTCTGACACGGTATCTAGTGTGTAACATTTTTTCTTTAATTAATGGAGTAGAAACTTTATTTAATATAAAAATGATGCAATCTCCTAGGAAGTATTTTAATAATGTAAGTATTATTGATGGGCGAGCGTCAAAACAAGGAATTCCAAAACACGAAACAGATGGAATTGATGGAATTTAGTTCTAAAAATGCCTTATTGTCTAGTAGAGAATACATATGTATTGAATGGAAAAATGTCATAAACTATATAATTTTTAATATTTATACATATTTTTAATTGAAATTTTATTTAAAAATTTAATTAATTTGGGAGAAGAGTAAATAAAAATAATCTATTATACCATAAATCTTCTAATTTAATAAACTACTCCTGTAGGGACTTTATTAATTAAAATTGTTTTAAGAAAATCTCAGAGAAGCGTTATCATATCTCGGACAATGTTAAGATATTTGGATCCGATGTGAAAATTTTTTGATTCAGAATAAATAATACTTGTTCTTAGCCCTATGGTGTTAAGGATAGAGAACTTTATTTCTTAAATTATGTATTTATAGAATTTAATAATTATTATTTTTCTAACAATTTAATAATAATAACCAACCTCACAATCAAACTGAAATTAATGAAACAAATAAATCAAAATAAAAAATATATTCCTAATGAATTAATTGTTGATATATTTAAAGCAACAAATAGAACCAATACAACAAAAATACAACGACTTGAAGACAAAATAAAAAAGTAAAATTCTGTCTAAAAATTTATAAATTTAGGAATTTATTTTGTTAAATAGAAAATTAAAAGGAGTATTTAATCAAATAAAAAGTTTTCCTAGAAAGAATTTTTAATTGAGAAAATAGGAAATTTTCATCTCATTTACATATTTTATCCTTATCTTTTTGTCTATGACTGTAATTTAAAACCAACATCGTAAATTTTATTTAATTTTGAGGTATTGCTAAAAATTTTTTTATAAAATTTAAAAATTATGGATTACATAAGATTACATAATACACCTTTTTCGATCTATCTACATATATTGTTGTTAAATGCTAATGACAAAAATTTGACTTATGTCAGTCTAGTTACCCATAGATTCTCGTTGATAAATGTGCATATATTATCTACATAGGTCGGAAATGGGATTATACATGAATTTATTTTTAATGTAGTAATTAATTTACCCGAATCATTGAAAAATAAATTCGTTTTCCTTAATTTTTTAAAAATTAGTATAATTTAGCCTAGGAAGTTCCTGATTTTTATAAAGCTACATATATCCCTTCCAATAAAATTTATAAGTATAATCTTTTGAGTGATTGATATTTCGATCAAGAGTTAAGCCAAGTACTAAAGTAGTAGAGTATTTAATAATTTTATGGCTGGATATTTTAAGTCAAACAGCTATGAACGACATAAAAGGTATCACCAAAACAACAAAACAAATATATGAAACTTGGTGTGTGTACGCTAGAAATTGTCTCAAGTCTTCAAGTATTGCTTATATTTATTTCCAAAACTTAAAGGAAATAAAGGCAAGTAATTAAATTATTGATATTAAAACATGGAATGATCAAAACACGGTTCAGAGGAAAAATTAGTTCTGGTTTTAAAAATATTCTGATTTTTAAAAATCAAAATTTTCAAAATCAGAATTAAATTTTTCTTTGGATTTTGATTTTTGAGTTTGAGTTAATTGAATTTCGTTTAATTTAGTTCGATTTAGATTTAATTTATTTAAATTGATTATTTAATTTATTTAAATTAATTTTTAATTAATTAAATAATTTATGAATTAATTATAAAATTAATTAATTTAAATTAATATTTAATTTATTTAAATATTTTAATTTACTTTTTTTAAATTTAATTTAGTTTCAATCAAAAAACTCAAAAATTCATTTAATTTTTGGCCGTTCTGTGATTTGATAACCTAAAATTTGTAAAATAACCCATTAACAGTTAAAAATTTTTACAAATTTTTAAATTAAAAAAATTTTTAAATTAATTTTCAAATTTAAAACAAAATTGAATTTATATATCTACTTCTTTACCTATAACCTCTCTTTTTTCCTTTTATGAAGCACATAGTACAATAATATTTATTTGAATAAAATAATTCTGCAAAGAAAAGTTAATTTGTTAACCCCACAAAGGTTAACTAGTGTCACAGATTTTTTCTTTAACATTTTCCTTTTTTATTTTTGCTTATTTATATATTTTTTATTAATTTAAAAATTTTTTTTTATAAAAATCAATTAGAAATAAAATTCCATAAAATATTTTGTTAATTATTTTTTAAATTAACAATTTTTATAGTAAATCTTATTAAGGCCCTATTTGAAAAGAAAATAATGAGCGCAGAAGAGAACCAGTCAATTAATGGGAGTGTGGGTTTATTTTTTAATTCCCTGAATTTAATTTTCCAAAAATATTTATGGACTGGCTAAAACTCTAAAAAATTTAAACGATCGTTAAGTATTGCTTGAAGATTTTTTTATTCAGAAAATTTAAGGATATAACCCATAAAATTTTTTAAATATAAAATTTCCTTTAAAAATTCAATTTAAAAATATTCATTATTTTTTAGCATTTAATTCATCTTACAAATAGATGGATTCGAATTGACGAGGCTTATACCTGCTGTAATCTCAAATGCATTAACTCAAATATAGCTAATGGTATATGCTATACAAATGGCTTTGTTAGAGTGGAAAATGATTTTTCTGTTAGGTATTTTTCTACAGGGGATCATTGTATGTCTGACATTTAAATAAAAATATAGAAAATTAAAATTAAGTACGTGATGCTGCTATTATTGTTTATGCCGAAAATGGATTTAGTAGAGAAGATGCTTTAGATGTTGGTTATTCCCTTTTTTATTATGAAGTGACATTGACGAATATGGATAATTTGGCAGAGTTGGAAATTTTTAAAAAAAAAAGTCTAATTATTAAATATTTAGAGATTCCTTCTTGATTGGTTTAGGAGAAGATAATTTGGATGTTTATCTTATGAGTAATGAAAACAGTTTTACGCGTAAAAATATTGGACGTATCCCATTTGATCACAATTGGAGTATTAATGACGTGATTGGGTGCGGAATTGTTTATCCTCCACCATACAAGAAATCAGGAGTGCCTTATGTTTTCTTTACCATAAATGGTTCAAAGATTGGTGAATAATTTTTTTAAAAATTGATTAAGTTGATATAGCATTAAGTTGTAGATTTAAGTTGATATTTTTACAACAATTTGCAAAAAGCAAAGTTTGGAGTTTGAAATTGTAGATTTTAGAGAACAAGAATTTGTTCCACAAAACCATACCGATTTTTGATAATTCGACTATCCAATTCTAATAGTTTAATTAGTTTTATTAATTTCAAATTAATTCGCAAAACTGCCATAATATCCAAAATTTTTCTTTTAGGCAAGGCAATTGGTTTGGATTATTATACTAAGAATCTGATTCCTATGATTCGCTTGGAGCGTTGTTCGGTTACAACTAATTTTGGGCAAGACGATTTTCGTTACGACGCCAACAATCACATTTTACATGGAGAGGACATGTTTGGATATAACGAATGGAGTGATTTTGACAGCTTTGACAATTGAGGATTGAAAATAAAAATTGAGATTTTTTGTTTTGGTCGTTTAAACTTGTTGTCCTAAGTAAATTGTTTTTGAAATAAAACGAGATTTTTCAATTATTTTTTTTCTGATCGTTAGAAAATTTTGTTTCGCTTTGAAAATTAAACAAAAGAATATATAGAAGATAAATAATTTTGATAAAAATATTTTTTAAATCATCTTTAAATATTAACTACTTAAATCCAAATAATTGGTCGCTTGTGAATTCTGATTTTAATTATAGAAATAGGCTGAAATCTTTTATATAATTTAAAAAATCAAAGTAAAATAATTAAATTAGACAGCTCTTTTCTTTAAATTTTCTGACATAAATGTTTGTGGATAAGGAAAAACTTGATTGGAGCTAATAAATTGTTGTTGGTGTGGTTGTTGTACTCCAGCATTCCAGCCACCCATTGAAGGCCTGGAAAAAAAATAAAATGATTAAATATGTATGTACATTTGGGAGATTTCTAAGATATTTTCTGTTAAATGAAAATGTCCGGAATTTTCTTTTAAAATGTACAATTATTCTAAAAATATTTCTTTTATTTTTTATGTTTATCTATGCAGTCTAAATTATTTTTTCATAAACATAAATTACCGAAAGCCCCCCATTGGAATATATTGTCCATTCCCCGCAACACTTAAAGGATTAATCACTCGATTATTTGTTGGAGGAATAATTTGATGAGGAATATTATAAGGATTAATATTAGACATTTCAACATTATTTCCTCCATTAATTAAAGAAGTACTTGGCCATCCATTCCTAAAATTTATTTTAAAATAAAATAAAATTTTTTAAAGTACCAAGGTGTTGAATGACCTGAACAATTACAATCCAAACCGTCAGCTAAAGAAAGCATTTGTGCTAAATGGTAATTAATGGAAATAAAATAAAGAATTATTAAAAATAATTTTTGATAAAATTTAACAAAAAAAAATTACCAAATTGTTCAAATGAAGACTTTCCCTGTTGTGATTTATTTATTTGCTCTTGTAGTTTCTTTACTTGTTCTTGAAGCTTAAATAAAAAATTATTATTAAAACATTTACTATATTTTAAATTTTTTACAAGAATAAAACAGAGTTTATTTCGAGTTTTTATCGAAAATTCAAACAATAAACTTGGAGGTTATAAAATTATAAATATCAGACTTAATTTAAATTATAGTTTGATAGACATAAAAATAATAATTTAATTTAAATTTCCCCTAACCTGTTGAACTTGTTGTTGTGTAGATGTATCCCCGCTAGAAGGTGTACTAGAAGTTGATTTAATTAATGAAGATTTAGCTTGGCATTTACATAAAAAGTCAAAATTGACAGCTACGAGGTTTAGAAACTTTATTTAAAAATTTTTAATAAAATTAACTATTATCTCCATTATTGAGAAAATTGTTTCCTCCTCCAAAAGAATTTCCAAAATTCTAAAAAAATATTTTTATTTTTATTATTTCAATTTAATTTCTATAAAATTTTTCAAAAAATAACCCCAGCTTGTTGCCGATATATTGGTTGTTGTCCATCTCCAAAATACTCGTATTGGGGACCTAATTTAGGTAAAAGTTCCTCTAAAGTAACACTATCAGCAAATAGAATCTTTTAAAAAATATTTTTATTTAAAGAATTTTATTTGAAAAAATTTGAATATTACCGTAAGCATGAAAATAAAAATAAATTTTATAAGAATTATTTTGGACATTTGGAATTGAAATATATGAAGATATTCTTATAATTTTAAATAAAAATAATAATTAAATTTTCGAAATTATAATTTAATAAAAAAAAATTTTTTATTCTAACCGACTGTTCTACAAATAACAATTAATTTTATAAAAAAATTTTAGAATTTTCAAAAGTTTGAGGAAACTTATTGAGAATTCTGATTTATGTGAATAATTTTGAAATTTTTTAATAACATTTAGTTATTTAATTAAATTTAAAAATTAAAAATAAATTTATTTTCATTTAAATTAAATTTTTTTTTTAAAAATTGAATAAATATATTTTAAATTCTAAAAATGAATGAATGAGAAAAAATGACCAAAAAACCGTGCCATTCGGATTAAAAATTTAGTTTTTGTGCTCAAATAAATAAATATATATTGACTTTAGCGGTGTGAATTTCAAGTTTAAAAAAGGGAATACACAATAGAAATTGAAAAAAATAAGGACAGAGCTGGAAATAAAAAATTATTATTTGAAAAGAGAAGGGAGGGGGAGGGGGGATAATCTTGGATTAAAATATTTTTTGGTAAAAATATCTTGTAGCTGAACAATTTTTTGAATAATGAAAATAATTTTTTTGTTTGCGAGGTCGTCGAATTATTTTATTAATGGAAAATTGTTTAATTGGATTTTTAAATTTGTTAAAAAAATATTTGAATAAATCTAGATAGAATTTGTATTGCATTTGCTTACTATTAGATGTTGAATTAAAACAAATAATTTAAGTAATTTTAAACGAAATTTTGAGTATTCCAAGCACTTATTTGCTTGTTAATTATAGTCAAATCTCAATTAATTTCTATAATTTAATGTGCTCAATTCAGCTCAATCCAAAGGATGTGACAGGAATTTTTGCAAATTTACCCAAAAAATCTTCACTTCCCAAAAAACAAAATTTAAAAAATATATAAAATAATTAAATAAAGTTTTAAAAAATATTTTGCACAGCAAAAATTGTTTTCGTTTTGTTTTCGTTGTTCAGAAACAAAATCATTCTTCTCAAAGATTATTGAGAACATCAGACATACATATGTGGACGGTGATCTGGATCTATTTGAATGCACCACTGAAATTAAAATTTTATTTTTTTCAATTGTAAGTTTGTGAGCTTTTGGTAAAGAAGATATTTTATAAAAAAGATGTAAAAATAAATTGAAAATTTCATATTCAGTATATTTAGAAAATTTTGGTAATTTAGATGAAAAAAAAGAATTTTTAGAGGCTCGTTCAACAGCGAACGGCGTTATAATTTAATTAAACTTTTTTAATTGTAAATACATTTATAATATAATCCAAGCTTGTGTTTGCATGAGCTCCGCGGTAATAATTCAATTCAGAATCTAAACAACTATAACGATTCTTATCACCCATAGCTTTGACATCATTTAATACATTAAACTCATCGAATTTGTTGTAAAGAAGTCCCGAAACATAATTAAATACAAAACTTTAATTTTTAAATTAAGTAAACTATCTCCTTAAAATTTTAGAGAGAAGTTCTGGGACTATAGGGGTTCCTGGGACTAAATTTCCTTGGACTAAATTTATGTAACTGTCTTTGTTGCCTTACCCTTTCCTTTACAGCCTTTAACTTATAAAGTTGGTGAACCGGCCTCTAGGTGAGGCGATCCAACTTTTGTTGGTGAACCGGCCTTTAGGTGTGGCGACCTGACTTTATAGGTGGTTTGGGGCCCTTTGTGGGGGAAAATATCTTCCTTAACTTATAAAGTTGGTGAACCGGCCTCTAGGTGAGGCGATCCAACTTTTGTTGGTGAACCGGCCTTTAGGTGTGGTGACCTGACTTTATAGGTGGTTTAGGGGCCCTTTGTGGGGAAAATATCTTCCTTAACTTATAAAGTTGGTGAACCGGCCTCTAGGTGAGGCGATCCAACTTTTGTTGGTGAACCGGCCTTTAGGTGTGGCGACCTGACTTTATAGGTGGTTTAGGGGCCCTTTGTGGGGAAAATATCTTCCTTAACTTATAAAGTTGGTGAACCGGCCTCTAGGTGAGGCGATCCAACGGTGTATGTAGGTTCAATCTTTCTATGAAATTTAAAAATTCCAAATCTTTACTAAAGTAATTAAAAATAAAATCTTTACTAAAGTGATTAAAAATAAATATTTTGCCTAATGATCCTTTTTTATTAAAGATATGGAAATGAATAAAACGAACATGGGGCAGATGAAGTGTACATGAATATGTTTTATTGCCTTTCTCCATGTTCGTTTCTCTAAATTATAATTTAATAAAAGGATATAATATATATTTAATTTTTATGTTTTCGTTTGGGAGTGATATATCCTAGTTCCTTTATAAGATAAGTTCCTTAATAGGGATGCAAGGGATTGAACCTATTATCTTTGGGATGGAATTCTAATAATATGGGACAACTTCCATTAGGGATGGAACTGTTTCTATTGGGATGGAAGTACTATAATATTAGGACAACTGTTCCATTAGGGATGGAACTGTTCCTTTTGGAATGGAAGTACTATAATATAGGACAACTGTTCCATTAGGGATGGAACTGTTCCTTTTGGGATGGAAGTACTATAATATAGGACAACTGTTCCATTAGGGATGGAACTGTTCCTTTTGGGATGGAAGTACTATAATATAGGACAACTGTTCCATTAGGGATGGAACTGTTCCTTTTGGGATGGAAGTACTATAATATAGGACAACTGTTCCATTAGGGATGGAACTGTTCCTTTTGGGATGGAAGTCCTATAATATAGGACAACTGTTCCATTAGGGATGGTACTGTTCCTTTTGGGATGGAAGTACTATAATATATGACAACTGTTCCATTAGGGATGGAACTGTTCCTTTTGGGATGGAAGTCCTATAATATAGGACAACTGTTCCATTAGGGATGGTACTGTTCCTTTTGGGATGGAAGTCCTAATAATATTAGGACAACTTTTCCATAAGGGATGGAACCATTACTTTTGGAGTTTGGATGACCTTTTTGAGAGTATAATCAATTATATATTATATTCATTTTTATTTATTTTTTGGCTAGAAGATTGTTAAAATCTAATTTTAACAATTTTCTAGAAAAGCAGCTGAACATCAATCATATTGCAAGAAAGCAAAGAAGCTAAGAACTTATAATAAAATTTTTTGAATTTCTATATATAATTTTATTTTTTAATAAATTAAAACATTTTTATTTTTTAATAATAAATTTAATTGATATTTAAAAATATAGAATTTTATTGCACTAATTTTAGAATCAAGTTTTTAAATATTTTACGTCTGGGGTGCTGAAAAAGGGCTATTATCTGTTTCATGGGCCCCGAAATTACCAAAATTTTCGCCTGGTACTGAAAAATATATTTGGGGAGAAATATGTGACTTGAGCAATGATAAATTTTTTAAATTGTATTTTTGCAGCGTACTTATATTATGAATATTTTCCCCTATGTACTTATAAATTAAGCTTTTGTACTTTATTTAACGTTTTTTCCGATGAGAACACTGATAATACATAATGATGGATGTAAAATTTTGGTTTATACTTAAATTATTGAATATTAATTAAAAATTTGCTATTCTTGGTTGAAAATATTCTCATAACATTTTAGGACAAATTTAATTCGGATGATAAGTATATTAAAGAGTTTATAAATAGATAAAAATAAGTTATTAAATTAAAAATGAGTTTAGATGCTGGAAAAAAAAGAACGGTTAAATTATTTACTCTTTCACGTGACTTTTTTTCATTTCAGAAATGATGTTTGAAAGATTTGATATATTAAAAATCAAAACATACAAGTAATTTTAAAATTTAATAATGAAGAAAAATGGAAGAGGAAAGTGAAATTCTATAATTTATAAAAAATATATTTCCTTCTAAAAGTGACAAACAATTATGAAAGCGGATTTTTTATCTCTTTTAGTTTATTACTATCCAAATTCTATGGTCTCTTTACATTTGCACTCATTTCTATTCTTTTTGACCATTAAATGAACTTTGAGTCAAATCTATCACTCTTTAAGTGGTAAAGGTTAAAAAATACAGATGTTCTTCTCTTCAATAATTAAATATTCGACTTTATTTCTTTGTTTTTTATTTTCAAAATTATATCCAAACCCTTCTCTTCAATCATTAAATATTCGACTCTAGGATGGCATATATTTCTCATCAATTATAAAGGTCAAAACAAGCCAGATGTTTAACTAAAGAGAGAAAGGAAAATTATTTAAAGTAAAAAGAGTAAGAATAAGGAAGAAAATAAGGAAAAATATAAATAAATTAGGTGGAATAACAGCTATTAAAATTTGAAGGGAATTTAAAGAACAATATTCTTTATTTCTTAAATAATTATATCTAATTTTATTTTGATTGGTTAATGATCAACTAATAAGGGGTCGTCAAAATAAATAATGAATTATATTTTTTAAAATATTTATTTAATGTTAAAATAGTTACATTAAATTTCAAAATTTATTTCAATATCGAGTTTATTTCTAAGTTTTCTCTTCAATCTTCCTCCTTTTGTTTGATAGCAAATCAGTTGCTTCGCAGTTATCTTTTACACAAGTGTCGCATAATTCAATCTTTATGATCACTCTATCACCATTGCGCACTATTTTGTCCTTTGACTTAAAGAGTTGATTTTGGCAGTCTAAAATTTTAAATTAAAATTTATATATAAAATAATAAATAACCATAGCAAAGGTGATATTGCAGAACAGTTTTCCCTTTTACAAGTTTCCAAAGAAGCTTTTCAGGAAAAGCTGTTGGTGGTTGTACCATTTTCTCTGTATTCAAAGGAAGAGCCGTAGGTTGGGATGGTTGTTCTATAACTGCCTTTAAAGGAACATTCTGAGGTGGTGATGGTTGTTCCGTCACTGTTTTCAGAGGAAGAGCTGGAGGTGATGATGGTTGTTCCATCAGTGTCTTCAAAGGAAGAGTAGGAGGAGGAATGGTAGGATTAAATTCAGGAATAATTTGGCTCATTATTTTTTGAAAAATTTCTAAATGATTTTAATATTTAAGTGGAAGTCATATAAAGCTTATGATTGTCGGGGGCAGTGGGAGGAATAGGATGGTGTATGTCTGTATTGTAGGAGTAGGGGGTAGGGTTTTTGATTCCATTCATTTTCCAAAATCATTTTAAAATTTTTCCAATATTTGAATATTTTCATTTATCCTCTATAAAATAAAAATGGTTCTTCTGATTGATGAAATAGCAAGAATTTTAAAATGCAGTGTTAACTCACTGCGCTATCAACTCATTCATCCTTCGAATAGAGATAAAATTTTAAAACAACTAAAGGGAAAGAAATTAAAAACAACTTATTTGGATAATAATGGGATGAGCAAAACTTTATTTTTTGATGACTTGAGTAGAAACGGGGCGAACAGTATTCTCGCGTATGGACGACTTTCTTCACCTTTTAATATCAACGTCGCAGCACATTTTTACGCCCGACATCGCATAAGACTTAATCATCCATATCATCTATGTGTAGTCCAGAAAAATACTCATGAAGACAGATATTACCCTTTGGAATTATTAGAATTGGTGGAGGAAGAACCTTTATCTGGCTGGATGGCAAATATTTTTATTGATAAAACAACTCAGTCAACTTCTGAACAATCTGAGCGAGATTTTGATGTAACAACACCCGTACCTCTTTCTGACTACGATGATAATCTTTGTTATGGAGGAAGAAAATTTAGTTAATCTGTAGATGATTTTGAATACATGCAAGGATGGTGATTTTATACACGTAGGAAATACACGCGCATACAATTTACACGCGCATATATACATTTTACCACTTTTTTGCTATTTTTTACTAAAAAACACCAAAAAACAGTAAAATTTATCTTCTTTTCCTTAATTTTTTCAAAATTGTATCTTCTCTTTACTAATTATGCTTTTTTACCCCTAAAACTGCTATCTTCCATTTGTTAATTTTTTCAAAATAGTATTTCCTTTTTCTTAATTTTGATTTATAAAATTAAATTTGTATCTTCTTTTCCTTAATTTTTTCAAAATAGTATCTTCCTTTTCTTAATTTTTTCAAAATAGTATCTCTTGACCACTAATTATGCTTTTTTACCCCTAAAATCGATATCTTCCATTTCTTAAGTTTTTCAAAAAAGTTTTTTCCATTCCTTAAATTTTTCAAAAAAGTATTTTCCAGTTGTTAATTTTTATTTAAAAATAAATAAATATTATGAATTTTTAAGATTTATTGGACTAAAGTGTAATGATATAATAATATTAGTAAGGCAACACTGTTAACTAATAAAAGAAAGTTAGCTAATCAAGAGTTAGGTAATTAAATCTGTAGGTGTAAGATACTTTGCCAACTTGAAGTTTATTTTTATGAAAAGTAGAAAGGACGGTATAGTCATTAAGGACGGTGTAAATAGTACATAAATATAGGTTCTTAAGTCTATAGTTGTAAGATACTTTGCAGCTTATAGGCAGCTTATATGTATAAGGTTAAATTTTATGTGTGATTAAAATTTATACTTGTTGTAGTTTGCATTTTTCTTCTCAATTTCAACTTGGATACGACTAGAATTAATCAATGACTTAGATTATATCCATAAGTTTCGCGCATGCAAAATGCGTGCATACAAAACACGCCCCTATAAAACACACGCGCATATAAAACACGTGCATACATGCATTTTCTACCACTTTTTGATATTTTTACTAAAAAACACCAAAAAAACAGTAAAATTCATCTTCTTTTCGTTAATTTTTTCAAAATTGTATCTTCTATCCACTAATTATGCTTTTTTACCCCTAAAACTGCTATCTTCCATTTGTTAATTTTTTAAAAATAGTATTTCCCTTATCTTAATTTTAATTTACCAAAATAAATTTGTATCTTCTATTTCTTAATTTTTTAAAAATAGTATCTTCTCTTCCTTAATTTTTCTGAAATAGTATCTTCTAATCCTTAATTTTTTTCAAAATAGTATCTTCTATTCACTAATTATGTGTTTTTACCCCTAAAATAGGTATCTTCGATTCCTTAATTTTTTCAAAAAAGTATTTTCCATTCCTTAATTTTTTCAAAAAAGTATTTTCCATTCCTTAATATTTTTCGAAAAGTATTTTCCAATTGTTAATTTTATTTAAAAATAAATAAATATTATGAAATTCGAAAAATTTTTAAATCAAAGTGAAAAGAAAAAAGAACATGTAAGAGAAATAGTAAATAAAAATAATACAATATAAGTTAAAATAGGTAGAGAGTACAATATAAAAATGAAAAATTATTGATATACATGACCAAAGTTTAATACAGAAAAATCGCTCGTGAGTATGATGCCCTTGCCAACAAAAGGTTTATACATTTTATGAAAAGGTTGGGAGGTAACGGAACTATTTACAACAGAAGGGCGTAAAAAGTTGGGGTAGATTATAAATATAGGGTCAAGATCACCATTTTTTACAAAATTAATAACAGTATCTTTAAAAGTTTCATATCTTAGATTTTGATTTTTCATAACATCATAATTAAGAGTCATCCCTCTCACCTTTAGTACATATTCACGTTCTTCACCACCATTCTTCCTTTTTAATTTCAATCCATATTGCTTTGCATCCCCACTGCAATATTAAAGGATTTCGTGCCGCGGGTATTCTTCAGTGCTGCGGGTATTCGTCACCACTTTTTGCTTGAGCCTCAATAAGTGCAACCTCACAGCAGATGTTGTCCACAAAGAAATCATACATTTGAGCTGTCATGTTCTACTATCCATTCCTTCTTCTTTGAGTAATGGATCATCATTGTTTCGCTGTTAAGTTCTTCGATTGCTGCAACTTCTATAGAAATGTTGTGAATATACTCTCCAGGCTCAACTAGGTCTTCGGTGATGTATATTTGAGTAAATCCTTGATTTCTTAATGAAAAACGACCCCAAAGGTTATTTACAGATAGCTTTGGAATTGCCCTTCTTCCTTTATTTGGTATCTTCTTTTCCCTTTCTATCTTCATTCCAAACATTTCTCAACACTCGTTCACAAATTTCTCTTCATCTCTATTTCCTCTTATTTTCTCATCAAAGCCTGAAGCGTGGATCCTCGTTGTCTATCACTATGTCTGTACATAAAGGTCAACTATTTTCTCCCTTCCTAAACCCTTGTAAAGCAATCAAACAGTATTAAATTTATTAAATAAAATATGCGTAAACTTTGGAAACAGTACAGTCTAACTTTATTTGCATTTTGCTTTATTAATGATTTTATAATGAAAAATTTGGGACTTTCCAGCGATTGAAAGAGATTCCAACAAACACCAACGTACCGAATCCTTGGTTCGAAAAAGCAAGCTGGGTACCAATACAACACAACTTTTGCATTTGTCATCTTTTGAAGTGTAGTACCCGCTCAGATAAACAAAAAACGGAGGGGCTAACAAAATTGGGTAATAGTCAGTTTACTTCCCCCTCCCCTTCATGTTTACCTGACCATTTTGAGTTTTTCCTGATCTATGATTTATCGAACTCGTCTAGTTGCATAGAATGATACCGTGAGGGTTAGATTTGATAGATACAACTTTATTGATTCAAAGACTCGGTGTAATACACAAAAAATGGAAAAAAGAATGTGGAACAGTGCAAAATGGAGGAATAACAACATTATGGATCAACACGTCAACATATTGAGTTATTTTGCCGAGTTTATGTGAAGGAGAATGTCGGGTGAAAGAGACGTGTTTCAAAAAATTATGCTTGTTTTGAGGAAATATTTGTCATTGGAATGATTGTAATGATTCTTTCCTTTATAGTTTTCATTTTATAAATAAAATTTGTCCGCAAAAAAAAAGTCCGCAAAAACACGTAAGGATAACGGAGTAGTACCGTAGTCTTTCTTCGTCTAGTTTCAAGGTAATATAGGAATATCAATAGTTTTTGGTAGAATAACAAATACTTTTTTAATTAACTTCTTCATTTAGATTGTGGACAATAAGGTGTCCAATAGATAATTAGTAATAAAATTCGTGAACGGGTAAAGTGTTGTTACATCATAATAGGATATTTTTTCTCCTTCTTTAGCTTCATGGAAAAGTTTCAACGGTCCTGTGCGCCCTCCAAAAAGCAATCTCTAATTTCCAAAGGACCTTCATCCAACCTAATTTTTTCAAAAAGTATTTTTCATTTGTTAATTTTTTATTTAAAAATAAATATTATTTAAAAATTCGAAAAATTTTTAAATAAAGTGAAAAGATAAAAAAATATCGGTAAGAGAAATTTTAAATAAAAATAAATAATACAATATAAGTTAAAATAGGTAGAGAATACAATATAAATATAAGTAGATTACTGATACATAGCCGAAATTTAATAAAAAAGTTGGTCTCATGAATTCTTTTTGTAATTTTGTACTCCATTTTTCTAAGTAAATGCCACTAATCGATATGGATCTCGTTGCTTGGGTTTTAATGGTCTTATATAGCATCTTCTTTTTGGATCATTGTAACCCCAACATTTCCCTCAGTTTTTTTTTCAAAACAAACATGCCCTTTGCATCCATTTCTGTTGTTATCATGAACGTTGTAAATTTCGCCACATTTTTCACATTGTTTAGAATTTTTGCAGAATCGACTGTTTAAATGATGTAAAAAGCAATCAACATTTTCAAAAGTTTTGCAGCAATCAAGACACTTCCTGTTATTTTAAATTTATTAATAAAATTAGTTATTTAAAATACCTATTAAAGCTTTCTTTTTTGCAAGGGAACTTTGGTCCAATTCGTGAACATTTTAAACAACGGGAACAACATTTAGCACTGTGTTTTTGAGCATGGTTGTAAACCTTTTCACATGAAAGACAATAAGATTGACCAAAAATATTCCCAACTTTTTGAACACCATCAAAATGCTTGCTGTCGTAATAAAGAATTATCGGCGTATCATAAATTTCGGGGCCATATTTATATTTTGGCTTGTAACTTCCAGATGATCCAAAAATAAAGACTTTAAATG